TGCTATGCTTATAAACTTTTGTAAAAACTGTTTTTTTTTTACTTTTTCCAATAAATACACATAGCATATTGAAACTAAATTGCATTGCAGACAAGGTTTTCCAAAATCACAGGGTTTGCAGAAGCAATTTTAGCATGCACACATTAAAGTCAGTCAAGTTTAATGGGCTTTCACTGGTAGGTCTAGATATATCTTAAAAGGGTGGTTCAGTTAAGGACTCAAGGGGAGTGGCTGCCTAGTCGTTAGGGCATACAGCTTACAATTCAGAGGTTCTGAGTTCAAGCCCCAATCCTACAGACTTACACTCTGGGTCCCTGAGCAAAGACCCTTAACCCCACACTGCTCCCTGTGCGCTGCACAGTGGCAGCCCATTAATCCCCAAGGGGATGGGTTAAATGCAGAGAGTGAATTTTGTTGCTCTGTACTTGTGACAGAGTAACAACAATAGTAAGCGGAAAAAAATACATGATTTTGTTCAAGAGAAAACACAAAAGACTATCTATTTCATAATTAAAGAAAGCATCATAGCTTATGCCCTGTGATCATACAGGATAATGGGTTAATAATTAGTTAACGCAATAGAAGGTCTGCTGGCTGTCCTTGCAATCCCATGAACTTTCTGCTTCACTTTTACTAATTCCAGAACATTAGTCATTTCAGAGATCCTGTATTCTTTTGCTGGTTCTCTCTAAAAGACTTTAGACACAGTCTTTAGCCTAAGACCTGAGAAACCTTTTCTTGTAGATGTATGGTTCCTTGGAAATGTACTCACACCTGCTAAATAATATTTTGTGATGTTAAAACCAAAAACTTTATTTTACTTTATTAGGATTTTATGTGACGGACCATGAAAAGGGGTTTTCAGGGTGTGGAATGCTTCTATATTTGGCCCTACCATCACATGACATACCCCTGAGTGGTTTTTCGTGCAATCACCGATCATTCACTAAAACTGACAGTATGGAAGAAGCCAAGTGGCCAATGTTAAATTCAGAGGAGCAGCATAACAATTTTTTTGCATTGGGTAAATTCTGTTGACATAAAAACCATTAATTGCAGACTCTACAAATATGGCCTTCCTGAGGGAGTAGCATAGTTTTTACTTAGTGGACACAGCAAACATAAGAAATAATGTTCTCTGGTCTGATTAGACCAAATTGAAACTTCTTGGCTCACAAGAAAATTACTTACTTGGAAGTGAATAAACACCTTTGTTTGTTATACAAAGTAGTAGTAGAATCATGGTGTTTGTGTGTGTTTCTTCTTCGGGTAAAAGGAAGATGAAAAGAGCAGAATTTGCTGCAGACTAACAAGAAAAGGTGTTGCACGCTGCAAATATCTAGAGCAGAAATTGCCGACTTCAGTTGTCAAGGGCTGGCACTCTGCAAGTTTAAGATGTGTCTTTGGTCAACCTTTGGTCCACACCTGAATCAAGTGACTGAATCACTTGAAAAAAACTGTATAAAGGGACGCTCCAGAATCCTGGTAGTTGTGTGTTTGTTAGATGTGTGTGTTAATGCAAGGACAATTCTAATAGTGTCAGGACACCAGCCTTCGAAGACTGGAGTTGCCCATCCCTGGTGTAGAAACTACTGTAGGGGGAGGTTCATCTTCCAGGAGTAAAAAAAATCCCAACAGACAGCCAAAGATATAGTAGAATTATTTTTAATCAAACCTTATCCGTTGCATTGAATGACATAGACATGAATCAGTCGAAGAATTGATTGAAAATTAAAGTTCCCTGGTGTTTTTTATCCAATTTGACTGTAAAAACAAATAAATGCAGCAAAATTCCCAATAGAATGTGCAACCTACTTTAGAGTTTCTACATGTCTAACACTCTAGGTTCATATGATCTTAGCAGTTAGCAATAAGTGATGGACAAAGGTATTTGTATTTAAATGCACCTTTAGTAACAGATATTGAAAAGTGTACAATACAAAAATAACAATACCTCTTTGCCCAAAGTAAAACTAAGAAAAAAAAATGTCCTTCTGAAGAATGTTCTTCCAGAATTTGTTTATTCAGAAATTCAATAAATGTTAGGGTACATTTGTCAGTTAGTTAGGGGGATTAGTCAAGTCAGAGATTGTATCCAAAGTAGGCTCTCTTGATGTCTGTCAGTGGACTGACACAATCCTACCATAGAATTTGTTGAATGCAGTGGTGTCAAAAGTACACACATTTGTTAATCAAGTAGAAGTATAGATACTGCAGTTTAGAAACACTGGTAAAAGTTATCAAGTATCAACTTGACCTCTTTACTTAAGTAAAAGTGAAAAAGTTTGTGCTCCAAAAACTGCTTAAAGTATAAAAGCATAAAGTAACTTTTAAAAAACAGCCAGATGCCACTATATGAATTGAAAGCTCAATTTTTCGACTATTTCTAAAAATTCTTTGCGATAGGGCCAAGGATGAGGGAGGTCTTGTTGGTCTCCATCTCCAGATACGCTCTCGCCTGTGTCCGACCTTTCAGACATTTCAACATCTTTTTCTGAGTCCAACATTGTAGCTTGGCATAGACAATCCATGTTTGCAGACTGAAGATCACCTGCTTGTTTCTGATTATTTCCTTTGGCGTCAGCACAAACATAAGAAATGGCTAACCAATGAATGTTTGCATTGCATTATGACTCATTCAATTACATCAGCTTTCACTAGATGTTTAATGGCACCAATTATCTGCATTGGATGACATGAAATAAGTATTTATAAACATTAAACCGAAGCCAAGCGTAATGAGTAACGTTTGTTTAAAAAATGTAAGGAATAGAAAGTACAAATACTTGTGTGAAAATGTAATGACTGGAAGTCATAAGTATAGATACCCAAAAAGTTCACTTTAAACCTCTGGCTGAATGATGTGTAGATCTCACGATCCGACTGGGAAGTCTTGCAATCAATGGATAATTTCTCATGAACGTCGTTGGACACCAGGGCTGGAAGCATCAATTCCCACGTCGTCAAAAGACCTGAACTATATTAACAAAACAGGTTTTATAGTCCAAATTCTCCAGTATGCAATCGCTTTAAGCTCAAAAGAATGACTAAATAATCATTTAAATGTGGTGTTCAATAGAAAATCAACCTCTCAGTTAGAATAATAACCAAAAAGGAGTTAACAATGGTTAACTACAGTTATTTATTTCCAAAATATGATCAATATAATACCAAAATGTAATTTTAACATTCATGTTTTTGGACTGTTGGAGGAAGACGGAGTACCCGGAGAGAAGCCATGCATGCTCAGGGAGAACATCAAACTCCATGCAGAAAGACCCTTGCTGCACTGCTCCACTGAGCAATGTACAATGAAATGAAATATGATTACATTTAAACAATGAATTCACTTACATCTGGAAAACACATTAATTTGTACACAGTTTAATGTGTAACCCACAGTTCTTGTGTGTAATGTCTCACTTAGAAAACCCTTCTTAAAATGATTTTAGAGTGTAAATAAAAGAAATAAAATGTAATACATATCACAGATTAGCTGTTTGTTTCCATTTTAATTAACTGAAAATTAAAATTTTTTTGCAAAATGCCTTTGTATTTTAGCTGCAGTCACAATTAGTAAGTGTGACTAGTCCCTTTAAAGTATTCATCTCTTCTTATTTAATTCAATTCAATTTGTTCATATAGCGCCAATTAATTTAATCTCAAATCACTTTACAGTTCACCAGATCATACAGTCACATTGATTCCAAGTTTTTTATCTAAGGAAGACTTTTTGATTGCATTGACTCGAAGGCAAGCCCTCACACTAAGCATGCTTGTAGCGACAGTGGAGAGGAAAAACTCCCTTTTTACAGGAAGAAACCTCCAGCAGAACCAGGCTCAGTGTGAGCGGCCATCTGCTGAGGCCGACTGAGGTTCAAGGAGACAGAAGCAGAGATACAAAATGCAACTGTAAAAGGCAGTCCTCTCCAGGAAAAACACAGCCAGGCTGACGAGCTCCGAGCCAGCTCCCATTTCAGAGGATGAAGAGAGCACATCCAGCCAGTCACAATTTGAGAAACACGACTACACTGAAAAACAAGCCGATCCTTTCCTCCACTTTTTTTTGTGCAGTGCTTATCAATATGAATATCTTTGTTAAATTCTCAAATAAATGCCTTTTAGCACAATATACTCTTCATTACACTCACATTAACAATCATTTTCAAATACTTTCCTATTTGTTTTGCTCATTTAGCCCTCCGGTGTGGCTAACCACGTTTTGTCTCTTAACACAAAAACAACCCCAAAGAATAATTCTCTATCCTCCTGAACCCAATTCTTCTGCCATAAAAAGCCCCCACACCGCTTCCATCTCATTCATTCCTGGCTGTTGCTCACTTGCTGCTCATGGCTTTTTCCATACACCCTGCTCTCTTTGTTTTTCCTGTAATGATCCCTCTTAGTCTATCCCCTCAGTTGTTGTAATTTTTCAGCCCAGTGTATGGAGAATCCAGATGTAATTGTTGTCAGATGACATTTAGAAAGTCTTGTCGAGGTTCAGAGCTGCAGATGGAAATTATTGGAAGTCGGGGGGATCGGGAGGGAATGCAGAAGGGATGAGGACAAAGCTTAGGAAAACAGGGAGAGAAGCAGAATGAATGTCTAAGGGGAAATGTGAAAGAAGGAAAAAAAAAGTTGCAAGTTGCCATGCCAACAGCACAAGCAGAAAAATAAACACTGAGAACCTCATGCTCTGCTCTGTCACCCCCCACCTCTCGGGCCAGCCCGGGTTCTCCAGTGTGAACGCCTCTGCATCCGATAGGGAGTTACACACTGTTTTTGTTCTGTTTTGGGGGAATCAGACGACTGCTGGCCCAGAGAGAAAATGTTTGACACTCCCCAGAACATACAACAGGAAGTAGAAAGTAGTGTATGCATGCGTCTTTGTGTCAGCAGCACATGAGGCGGACCAGCTGTTTGACACAAACCCAGACATGAGCTCTGAGTCAGTGTCCAGTTGTGGATTAACCCTTTCTCACCACCTTTGTGTCCCTCAGGGTTCGGAGGCTATGGAGGACTGCGTGCAGGGGGCGCTTTCATCACTTTATCCGCCTTTCGAGAGCACAGCACCTCCTCTACTCTCTCAGGTAGACATCACAAGCACACACACACAAGGACACAAGAACTGTTGTAGAAATGGTGCTCAGCTGATGAAATCCAAGTGAAATCAAAATGTAACTAAATGGTTATTTATAGCTACATACCGCACCAAGTAACTCAGAGTTTCTCATTTCCCTGTATCCTGAAATATGCTTGTATACACTGTATAAAAAATATAGTAAAGTTTTCTACATTTAAGTCAGACTTAAATCCATTTCAATGTTATTTGAACACTCTGATATTGTAGTCCATCTCCTTTGGAGCTAACCTGGCACTATGCTTAGGGTCATAGTATCAGCTTCATGATTGATGTCTTGAAATGTTGCTTCAATGTGTGCCGCAATGTCCGGTCCTTATTGCCGCTTAACTTTCCCATTAATCATGGTTATACACCTTAAGGATTGGGTTCTAAGGATTTATGTTTCACTTTGGAATCATACAGTTTTCATCGCGACCAAACTAACTTTAATTTCCACTTCTCTAAGTTGAGTTTAACGTTTAGTGACCAGCAAAAAGGTGGACTGCTCCCATTAGGTCTGGGGATAGGGCTCTACCTTAAGTATTTTGGGGGCTTTTTTTTCACTAGTTATGGTAGTAAGAGAGTTTAATAGACATAAAGATGAGAGCTCTGTTGTAATATAGGCCTGTTTCCAGTCTGTTGTAATTAAAAAAGAGAAGCCCGCAGAGTGGCAACATTTTTGTCCTCACCCTTGGTTATCAGTTATGGGTTTTGACCAAAAAACAAGATCTGGGATGAAAGCTGCTGTGATGAGCATTCCTGTAGAATTGCTGGACTGCTGCTAAGAAAGATGGCGATTAGTTGTCTCATACATGGTGAGTAGGGATGGATACCATTCACATTTGATCATCCATGGATGGATGGATGGATACCTGGAAATCACTGTTAATACACAATAGTACATTTTTATCATACCATACAATTGTCACCTAAAATACTGGGCTCATTTACCTGAAGCAGACAAAGATAACAATGATGCTGCTGCTTTATGTTGCTCGCTGGAGACGACAAGCTATCAGTGTTGTAGCCATGGATCTGAGGCTGCTGATTATTGTCCACTCTTTGTGAAAAATCTTGTATGTAACCATGCATGTTGCTCCATCGGCCTTGCTTGGTTTGTGTTCTGTAGCAGCAGTTAGACGTCCTGTGTGTGTGTAATTCTCATTTCTGCCATACAAAATCAACCACTCTTTGAATTCCTTTTTGTCACAATGACTAGTTTGGGTAGGAAAACATAGAACCATTTAATTTTAAATCATAGGTTCACAATGCCTGGACATTCCCATAATATTTGCATTAGTGCACACAGATGACATCTTCAAGAACTTGGAATTTAACAATAAGGATGAAATTAACCAGGTTTATGGAGGATCTTTATTCTCATTAGTAGTTTTCCCATGAAAAGTTGAGGTTCACTCAGATTACAAGAGATTAATATCAGCTACTCAAGTTCAGTAATTGTTGTTTCTTTTTTCATTGTTGCTATGGAAGAAATGGTTGCTGTTTTCCTGATTTGATCCAGGCCATGGTCCTTAGAACTTTTCCACATAAAGCCAAGTGAATCGAAAAAAATATCCCTGGCTTGTAAGGCTTCAAAAGGCTTAAAACAAAGAGTAGGTTCACTCCAGCAGGACAGCAACTCTAAATATGCAGCTATATGTGTGATGTAAGGGTATAGATAGATACAATATAGATGCGTTAGAAAAAGCAGATGAACATTCACTCCTAAGTCCAATTGAGTGTCTTGAAAAGTGATGTCCTTAGATGCTTTACATCCAGTCTACTCTGGCTTGAGCTATTTATCTAATGCATATTTAGTCTCTAGACAAGCAAAGCTGTGCATGTCCTCACCCTTGGTCATGCATCTTTTCACTTATATGCTATTTTTCTTAGTATTTTAACAGTTTGCAGTTGTAAGTTTATGAAAAAAACAAAAATCCTGAGTATGAATACTACTGCTGGGTGTTGTATAAAGGTTTTAAGATATTCCACCTGAAAAAAATTTTATGCTGTCAAACTGGCTGAACAAGTAGTTTTGAATATGTTTTTTTTTTTTCTATTCTCCATTTGTTATCCAGGTCTTCTCAGTCCTGGAGTCAACCTACCAGCATGACAGTCTGCGCTACCTCCTGGACTATTTCGTACCTGCAAAGCATCTCCTGCACAAACTTCAGCAGCATGCCTGTGTGAGTTCCAAAGTGCAAGCAGATTTCACTGCCAGAACACCCACAACGCTGCATAATCAGAAGCAGAATCAGTTGTCACATGCAGGAAGTATAGTGTGGGAAAAGTTTCAGCTGCTGCTGACTTCTTAAATCCTTTGGTGAAACTTGTCCTTGGGTGGTGTTAGCATATACACCCTGGTAAAGGTGATTGGCGAGTCAGTCCAAGTCAAGTCCTATGTCATCAAAACAAGCACATTTTTAAGCTTCAGATACTGCAGTAACATTAGTAGAGAAATAAATGGAGTGTTTAAATTTAGATTAGATAAATCCATAGAAAGATTTATGTTCTCTTCTGAAGGATTAACATAAGGCCAAGTTCAAGTAAACTGAGACAGAACTCACATCCGCTCAAATTCTGAGGAAATATCCCTTACTGGTTTCTGCTCCTTCTGTTAACACCAATCCTAGTCTATTAAATTAAGCTAATCTTTTCAGCATGTAATTCATTGCTAAAAAAATAAAACTGCCACCATGAATATCCAAATCATGTTTCCTGTCCATTAGACTAATTCCTGTCTGTATACTTCTTCACTTCAAAAAAAGCGCTAAAAAACATAGTCTGTTTGGTCATTAAAAAAGTAGATATAAGCATAATAGTTTTGAAAAGAATATTATGTTTTCATTTTATAGAGATGCCTTTCACATTTACTTAATAATTCACTAAACAGGACTAAGCTCCTTCATTGGATGAAAACAGAATTAACTCAAATTCTCTGAGTAGCATTCACATTTTTGGGCCAAAGTAAACTTATTTAAGTATCTCCTGGGTAATTCATGTTTAGACCCAAGTGATATTATGCTATGGTAAGTTTTGGTCAATTGAACTTAACAACGTTCAATGTAAGAAAAAACTCTAAAACCAAACCAATATTCATTTTTCAAGGTTTTGTAGTCTTCATAAGCATAAACGTAAAAGTGGCAAGAACGTTTTTTATCCCATACCTAATTTGTGTCTCTACAAAAATTACCAAATGAAAGCGCAGTAATATCACTATTTGGAACACATTAGGTGAGTCGACTACCTTTTTATTTTCAAATAGATAACTTATAGGAATATTTTTTTAAAGTGGCTGCTGTAGTTACTATAGATTTGGATTCTTTGCTAATTTTTTTTCATGGGCAGAAAATCACTTTTGTGAGGACAGAGCTTAAGCATATTGAAACAACATGCTGATAAAGATATATTTTCACACAACAAAAAAATATAGATATACATCACATAATAAATGAAGCAAAAGTATGAGGTTTGCTTTGTAATTTAACACTTCTGTCAACAAGATCATAACACTAAGACAACACTTTACAACCTCTCTGTTACCTATCCAGTGAATTCAACTAAACACAAATAAATAATCAGCAGTATGTGTTCAAACAAGAAATGTGATCCTTTAACTTAATTGCTCTTTCACTGTTCTTTCTATGACCCAAAGTCAAACAGCCGTTGGGCTTCTGTGCATGCGTTAATGCTTTAGCTTTCTCACATTCCTCTGTAGAGTTTTTTTTTTTTTCAGTTTCTTCTGCAGACTCGCTCTGAAATACACGTTAACAAGCAGGGGTTGGGAGCAAATGATGTTTTCATTGTCGCTGAGTGGAGTTGCCTGGGATGGGAGTCAGACTCTGAGTCATGACAAATAATTCCTTCCATGTGTGATTGTGTTACTGCTGCAAGAGAGGGAGGAACCTGCAGGGCGGCGTTGAGACATTAGAGGAGAGACTCGAGAGAATGACCATGACCTTCGTTCCTACGTTTGTGTTTATCGGTTAAAATAAAAGGGAAGATGTTAGTTGCAAGTCATAGCAGTAAAAACTCTGGGGTCTGAAAGAGAAGTAGGTGGAGAGGAGAAGACCACAGAACACAGAAAGTTTTAGAAGTCATATTTTTTTTTTCTGCTAAGAGCCAAAATGGTAAAACATATCGGCCATTTTACTTGTCTGCAGCTTGACCTGAGTTATAGAACACACAAAAAGGAGGGGGATTGAGAGAAGAAATGAAATAAAGGGCAGTGAGGAGCAGAAGGAAACACCGAGCAGAGGTCAAGGAGGGAATTTAATGTGATCACGTTTCGTGTCTTGAGGATATGAGGAGGAAAGGGAACAGCTCTGTTTCTGTGTTTTAGACATTACTTGGTATAGTGGAAACAAGTTCAGGCTTTGAGTGGCAGGATAAACGTCTGACACAGCATTCATTGAGCTCAGATAAATGCTTGGATGAAGGAGTATTACAGTAATAGATCAATCTAGTAATTGGGATGTTATGAGAAGGATGTTTTATATATATATATATATATATATATATATATATATATATATATATATATATATATATATATATATATATATATATATATATATATATATATATATATATATATATATATATATATATCTCCTTCTCGTATACCGATGTGCAAATGAGCCGATCCATTTATCCTCCTATAGATTAGTGGGCTTTTGAAACTTGTGATGAGTTGGTCATCTGTAAATTGTTGCCTGACTCACAGCTCTCTAGAGTTTTCCCATTGTTACAGTTCATAAAGGCAGCTTTACAAATTGGAAAACACCTCATTGGTTTGACATTTGTTTCGGTTTTAGCTGTACATGTATCCCCAAAGCTGACCACAGCAAACAGGTTCTAGAGATTCAGTTTATTAGAGATGCTAAGTTGAACCAAATGACACAGAAACTGAATCTCTGAAAAAATAGGATCTGAGAAGGACTCACTTAAAGCAGATAAAGGGAAGGGAATTGGAATAGATGTAACCTTCAATAAAAAAAAAAACTTTCCTCAACACTTTACCTCAACTTACCAGACACGTACCAAGAACTTTACTAAAGCTTACTTTACTTTGTGTGTATCTAAAACTATAATTAAGGTTAAAAAAACAATTAGGCTTTGTTTTTTGTTTTTGTTCTTTAAGATTAAAGTCCTTTGTCCTTTACAAGAATAACTTTCTCAATTCAAAGGCAGAAGAAACTTTTTCAACAATAAAAACTGAAGTCCAGCTGATTTTGTTTTTAAACTATTTTAAATTCACCATGGCCTTGATGACTAACAGTCTTGCTGTTTAATAATGACACTAATGTGACACTACCAAATAAAATAAAACATTCTTTTCTGAGCCTACCCTGTATTTCCAGAAATACTCTCCTGACATTATGATTGAATTTATTTTGGTATAACGTAAGGTTAGTTTCCTGAAATTTATGTGATACCCAAACCTTTAACATACCTGTTACTGTTTTGGAATATATGTATTACGTTCCATTAACTTTTCAGATAAAGTCTTTATCTTTGAATGGCTATGCAGTACTTTTGAAAACGATAAATGGTTAAACATGAGTGGTACTTCCAAACTGTTATTATAAGATATATAATTTAGTATTAACATAGTGTTATTAACATTGTGTTTCAGAATCTAAGAAAATATTTTCTATAATGGCATTTTCCTAGAAAATTCTGGATACTTTTCTGGGACTTTCTGATTATTTTTAAGAACCAGGATGTATTTTGACGTGAGAAAAAAAATGTTATAGTCTGATATAAATCAATGGATGCTTTTTTGATATTGTTATTAATTTATAACTGATTGCTTTCCTGAAACATACCTGTTACTTTACCCAAAGGTGACTAGCAGGGTATTTTTAGGGAAGTAACCTCAGGAAGCAACAGGAATCAACCTGTTGTCATTCATATAAAAACATTTTTTAAAGAAATCTAAAACATTCCCCATTTTTGTAAACTGTTATTTTTCCTCTCTCTCTCTAATGCATTTTAACTTATTATCTTCTTGTCCCCATTTTATGGCTTCAGTCTCAGTATTTGGGATGCTTGTTCCTTCACTCCGGCTGGCCCCTCTGCCTCGGCGAGAAAGTGGTCGTTCAGCTCTCCACCTTGGACTGGAGGCTTCTGCGCAGTAATGACTTCTACCTGCAGGTGGTGCCCTTTTCTACGCGCTGCCCACGACTGGCCCTCAAATGCTTGGCCCCTGGGGGTCGTACGGTGCAAGAAATCTTGGTCCCGGAGTCACAGCATCCCCTGGTGTTCACCTCTGAGTGGCTCCATAGCATCAACAAAGAACGCGGTCACAAGAGAGAAGGTAAGCCTTACTTCTTATATGATCTTTTAAGTAATAAACAAAATAAGTTAGTTCAGTGAAAAGGTAAAACTCTACAATTATTGGTTTCTGGTAAGATTTAAAACAGCATAACTTTGACATAATATTTTCTGACCAAGATTTGGGTTAAAATTTAAGAGGAGAGCTTAAGGTTCAAAAGAGTGCAATTTTTTACAGTACAGACATTAGTAGTAGCCATTCAAAGTTTCCCCACTTTTCTCGATGGGCCCCTGGCTGGTTCTTAGCCAAGGGCTAAGCCAATGTAGCCAATGGCTACTACTGTAGCTGGTGTGCATCTGTATGTAGCTTCATACCATGGAATGGACTAAACATTGAGTCAAAACAAAGCACAAATATAAATAAATTTGACAAAAGGATAAACAAACACAGTTTCCTGAGGATTATATGGTCTAAAGTAAATGAACATTTTTATTTCTTGTCATTTGTATGTACATTTGAAATAATATATAAATGCAAATAACTTCCTTCACTGTAATATGAGGATAAAATGTTTCTACGTAATCCTGTTGGCAATGAGTATTACATTATTTTATCCTAAACACTAGCCTGTTCACGACTATGCCTGTTATGTGGATATCTCATAACTCAAGTCTATTCATCTTAGAACAGTTATCTTCTAAAGCCACTACTTCATTCATTTTAAATATTTTAAATTTCAAAAATGCTTGTTCTTTAAGGAGAATGAATAATCTTTTTTCCAGGCAAACACATCTACAATTTGTACAACTTAAGATATTGATCCCAACAAAATTTGACTCAATAACCCAAGACACAAATGATAATTATATAAATGCACAAATGAGCCTGGTCATTCACAACAGAATGGAGTCCAATTAATACACTGGCCATAATCTTTCTCATCTTAGGTGTGCATGCATTCATTGAGCCAAGCGAAGGAAAACCCTTATTCATTAGTCTGTGTTTGAAATGACTAAAACTAGCAAATGTTTGCTATTAGGACTCCTATAGCAGCATTAACATTTGAACCTTAACCATTGATGGCAATAATAATACTGCAAGAGATCGTGTTAACTACTAGAGGTGGAGCAAAAACAATAACAAGAATGGCCTTTAAGGCTGTTTGTCACAGTAGATGACTTATCCATAAACCAACCAACCAATAATTCAACCAATCAATCAATCAGCAAACTTTTCAATATGGCTATAACATGATGATCTTTTTAAGTAATTAAGTAATTACCAGGGCATTTCTCTTTCCCAATTAATCCTCACTCTTTCCTAGAATCTTAAACATGAAATAAGATTAAGTTGTTCTTTAGCATGAAGTGGAATTACTGTTTTTATATGTAAAGAATAATCATGTCAGATTCATACAAACCTTAACTTCTGTCATTTTTACACAGTTGGAGGAGGACTCGACACCTGTCTGGTCAGTACATGTGATGGTGTAGTACGACTACCATGGAAGGAAGTCGTCTACCCAAAATTCCTTCACGACCCATCCGAGGAGCTTGGCATGGTTTCCAACAGACTTTCCAGTGAGGGGAGTAGCTTCCTGAGTGGGTGGGACGGCTCCTCCTCAGGAGACCCTGACACCTGGTCCTGGGATGAGGAAGAGGATGAAAGTCTCCCATCAAACAGCATGCACTCTGCTCCTGCTTTCAGACGAAGGCGCAGTGAAGATGGGCTGGGACGGACGGCAAGGCAACCTCACATGGATGGGGATTATGTGGAACTTTTGGAGCCCAGAGGGGGACCTGATGGGGGAGTTGATCCCAAGCAGAGGTACTTGGAGATGCATGGGATTAGTAAGACCAGAACATTGCCCTTATGCAGGAGAGGTAAGGCCATTAAACTTCGCAAAGGAAAGGCTTGGGGTTACGCAAAGACAGAAAGATCAGGAAGCTTTCGCGGTGCGTACAGTACCAAGGAGAAGAAAGTAAATCCAAATGATGATATGCTATTGCCAATGCCTCCGATAACAATTGAAGGATCTGCCAGAGTAAGGCAGTCATATTCCTCCTCTGCTCATGACTCAGATGAAGGAGATAAAACAAATAGAGGCAGCAATAGTCTGGAAAACAACAGCCTATATTTTGATGGTCAGCTGAAAGAGAGGAGGCCTGGTGTGGGTAAGGAGAGAGAGAGCAACAGCTTCCCACAACCGTGCAGAGATGGACAACAAAATAAAGACTCTCAGAGCAGTGACAGCTTGGTAGTAAGTGAAATCTATGCTTTAAACCCTAAAAGTGGCCATGATGTTGAGGGCCAATCAGATCATGGTTCACAATCGGACTCTGTGTTTGAGGATGCTGATAAACCACTGAGTGGAGACAGCGATATTGTTACGCCAACGCCAGACACACCAGAGACACTATCTGCTGAAGTTCCTGAATGTAAAAATACATCAATTAGTCAGTCTAAAATGGGGAAGTCTCCAAAAACAAAGATCCTAGACGAAAGGTTTGAAGGAAGGACGGAAGACAGAGTGTGTCCTAGAGGAAAAGAAGTCAAAACGGCAGGATTCAGAGCGCCACGGTAAATACTATCTATTTTTTCTTATATATTGTATACTTTATTTGAATGCACACATGTACAATTTTGTGGTTTAGGAGGAAAAGGAAGGGGAAGGGTGCCAAAGGCAAGGCCAGGAATGGTGGCAAAACCCAAAAGGGTACAAAACTACAGGCTAAAAGTCCCCTACCAAGTCCCACAGCCAACTCTGCATTATCAGAGCTTCCAGTCCCAGAAGAGAACAAGTCTAAGGAAACACAAAATACTGACAAACCTGATGGAGCGCCCAGAACTGTCACTAAAGGGATGAAAAACACAAGGAAAAGCAGCAGAGGTGAGGAATATGTTCTAACTTTACATTATTTGACTCAGCCCGCAGATATTCTTACAGCAATGTTCCTGCTTTTCTCATATTCCAGTTGAGACAGAAAATGGATTGTTGCCTGTGTGCAATGGTCAGTCAGGCACATCTTTATTTAACCACTCAACTGAGGAGGCTGGATCACCAGAGACATGTACTGACCAAATAAACGGTGTTACCTCCAAAGATCCTCTGCTTCTGAGGGAACTGGTTACAGAATTACTCCAGTCGGGGAAGCTACAGCTGACAGGCAAGATTCTGTTGCTTACATCTATCCTGTTCATGTGTCAGGTTTGCATTTATCTCAAGTCTCATATTTAGAGGACAAAATTAAACCAATGGTAAAGTAAATAGTATGAATAAAAAACAAGCAGGACAGCATCCACTTATCATGTCATTGATCTTTGGTTGTGATCACTTACCTTTATTTCTGCAGGTACTGTGGATAGATTAGGGCGAGCTCTGGTTTTCACAGATGCAGATGCTTCAGAGGAGGGATTCTGCTCAGAGGAAATGGCACAGATTTTTTCATGTTACCACCGAATAACTCGGTAAGCTTAAATAAAGTGTGATTTATGTTCTGATTTTGCTTTACACTGTTTCTGTTTAACAATGTTTCTCGGAATAACAACAGTTACAAAGTAATCCACCTTTGACCACAATCATGGTAACGATGTGAAAGGGCATAAAATATAATCATTTTTCTTGGCTTGGGGGAAAAATCCCATTGGATTATTTTTTAAACAAAAAAAATGGAGCTAGAGAAGTTTTAAACATGCCCCTGCCCCACCCTGCCCCAGGGCAGAACAGAGCTGATTGTTTAAAATCTGTCCAATTTGGTCCACGTATCAATTCAATTCAGTTTATTTATATAGTGCCAATTAACAACATATGTCATATCAAGGCCCTTTACAGTTTAGCAGATCATACAGTCAAATTGAATCAGAGTTTTCTATCTAAGGAAAGCAAGTTTATTGCATCGACTTATTGACTTGAATGCCATCTCTCACACTTAACATGCTTGTAGCGACAGCAGAGAGGAAAAACTCCCTTTTAACAGGAAGAAACCTCCAGCAGAACCAGGCTCAATTTAAGCGGCCATCTGCCAAGGCCGACTGGGATCAGGCGCGCTGGAAGCTGTTTCAAGCGAGGGGGGCTGGCTGGGTTGGAAAAAACACATGACGTCATTATGTTGAGGGCTGTGGCTGACGTTTTTAACATAATATTGTAGGCCTACATTTGTCGCCAAAAACTGCCATTTAAAATGCATCGGAACAAAGCATGAACATTTTAAACTTTATATCTTCTCTTTTAATCATTCAAAATTGATCGTCTGCCTGGCTGTGTGTTTCCTGGACAGGGCCGCCTTTTACAGCTGCTTTTTATGTCTCTGCTTCCGTCTCCTTGAACCCCAGTGGGCCTCAGCAGATGGCCGCTCACACTGAGCCTGGTTCTGCTGGAGGTTTCTTCCTGTTAAAAGGGAGTTTTTCCTCTCCACTGTCGCTACAAGCATGCTTAGTGTGAGGGATTGTATTTGAGTCAATGAGTCGATGCAATCAACTGGTTTTCCTTAGATAGAAAACTTTGTATCAATTTGACTGGATGATCTGGTTGAACTGTAAAGTGCTTTGAGATGACATGTGTTGTGAATCTGGCGCTATATAAATAAACTGAATTGAATTGAATTGAAGACAAACAAGAGCTTGCAATCAACAGGAACAGGAATACTTGAATGAAACATGGCCTAAATATAGCCTAAACTGAGCATTGAACATCTTGAAAGTCCATTCGACTATGGATATGGGGAATGATTTCATATCTGAAACAAAAAACACACACACAAAAAAATAATAATTTCATATTTTATCACTTAATACAGACATAATATTTAGTGATATGCAGCCTTATTCTAGCGTATAGGGGAATTAAAACCATTTCTCACCTCGAAATAGTCAGAAATACATTTCTGCTGCCTATTGCTACCCATGCCTAAACGAATGTGAGGTGGCGGAAGCACTTCAGGGGGAGTAGCCTAGTTTTTTATGAAATATTAAAATAATGAATCATTAGTTTATATCTTATACACAGCCCATCATTTTAATCCCATATCAAACACAGTCTTTTAAAAAATAAATACATAAATAATTTCATGTTTTTAAGTACGATATTATGTTACCCCACAGCCCCCCACCATGGGGGGCTGATGCTATGACGAGGGAGGCTGCAGCCCCCACAGCACCCCCCTTCCCGTGCCACTGACTGGGATTCAAAGAGACAGAAGCAGAGATACAAAAAGCAACTGTAAGCAACAGCCAGCTCCCATCTCAGAGAATCAGGAGAGCACATCCAGCCTGTAACAGTCAGAGAAACAGGACTACACTCAAAAACAAACAGGCCGATCTCAAACATCTATAAACAAAGGTGTTGATGGCAGCAGCACAGCTGATACTGCTCTCCAGGATGGTGTCACGGTCAAACAGGAACAGACGAGGTGAAGCTAATATGAGAAAAAACAGAGAGAGCATAACGTTAGAGATTGAACCAACAATAGAGAATAGAGATGGAATGAAGCAGAATGATGAAATAGGGGTCCCTATGTCCTCTAGAAGTCTATCCCTATAGCAGCATAACTGTAGAGATAGCTCAGGCCAACCTGAGCCACTCTACTGTAACTATAAGCTTTATGCAAAAGGACAGTTAAGCCAACCCTTAATAGTAGACAGGGTGTCTGCCTCACAGACTAAAACTGGTAGTTGGTTCCACAGGAGAGGAGCCTGATAACTAAAAGATCTGCCTCCCATTCTATTTTTAGAAATTCTAGGAACCAGTAGTAAACCTGCAGATTGAGAGTGAAGTGCTCTGTTAGGAACATAAGGAACAATCAGATCTCTGATATAAGATGGAGCTTGACCATTTAAGGCTTTATATGTGAGAAGGAGGACTTTAAATTCTATATTCTTTATACTATTATATATACTATATAATTATAATATTTTCTATATACAAATACACTATTATATTATCATATATGTTGACTGAGACAGTGCGAGGTGATTCTTAGAAAGAGACCTGCAGACTCGGACTGGGAACGATTTTCGGCCCTGGCATTTTTCCATCTACACCCCAACAAACATCCCAACCTGGCAACAATGCACGTAAGACGGGGAATGTTAGACTTCAGATGCAAAACCCCATTACTGCACCGCAACATATTTTAGCAAAATATTTGAACATAATTTCGCCAAATATAAGAGGAACATCATATTTTCGTTTTAAGAAAGCATTTCGTTTTATTATAATTGAGTTTGTTGCAAGGATTTTACAGTTTGAAAATATAGAAAATTACAGCATAAGCCAACCGTCACAAGGATGTGCATGACAAGGAAGGGCGATATATACTGAATGCATCCTTAAAGGAATAGTACACCCAAAACATGATTAGCCTTCATTTTCTACTCACCTCCATGCTGAACAACACTCTGGAGTACTTTTTTGATATCTCAAATGCATCTGGAGATCTGGGAGACTTCTTGCTGTCTGCTGACATTCAAATAATGGAGGTCTATGGCGCCCGAGACAGAAAGGTCCACAAAAGTCCACAAAAACTTGTCAATATTCCTCCATACTGCTCGTCCAATGTAATCCAAGTGTCCTGAGTGGGTAGCATCCAGAATTTACTCGAAACGAAGTCATTTAGAACGTTTTAGAGCCTAAACAGTAGTGTATAGGATTTCCTAATAGCGCCCCCATGCGCGCTCACGATTCTACGGAAGCCGGCAGACCAAACCAGCGCATTCAGCTCGGCAAAGAACTCATGCTCTTCCTCAACACTGAAGTCCTCAGACATTTTTCTTTCGTTGTTTCTTTCTTTGCACAGGTAAACAGCACATTTCTTCTTCTACGCTTGCATTATCGGCAGACCAGACGCTGAATGCGCACTTCCTTCCGGTTTGGTCTGCCGGCTTCCGTAGAATCGTGAGCGCGCATGGGGGCGCTATTAGGAAATCCTATACACTACTGTTTATGCTCTAAAAACATTCTAAATGACTTCGTTTCGAGTAAATTCTGGATGCTACCCACTCAGGACACTTGGATTACATTGGACGAGCAGTATGGAGGAATATTGACACGTTTTTGTGGACTTTTATGGACCTTTCTGTCTCGGGCGCCATGGACCTCCATTATTTGAATGTCAGCAGACAGCAAGAAGCCTCCCAGATCTCCAGATGCATTTGAGATATCAAAAAAGTACTCCAGAGTGTTGTTCAGCATGGAGGTGAGTAGAAAATGAAGGCTAATCATGTTTTGGGTGTACTATTCCTTTAAGGTAGTTAACATTGTATTACTTCTTGAGCTCCTTGAGTTATTTACTGTCACCAGTAGGTGCTTCGGCCAGAGTGTAAGTGTTGGGGCCGGCATTATGTAGGGAGGGCCGGCCCAGCAGATTACCATTAACTTTAGGAAAATTTCAATGAAGAGCCAAGGAAAACAATTTTAACAGAACTTTTTCTTCACATTGAACAATATAAAGCAGAGGATCCTCTGATAAAATGCTTTATATTTAAAAATTGCTTGTAGGGATTTCCAAATACTTTGTGAAGTTTTTTAATATTCATAAGAAATATATTTATCAAAAGATTTTTGAAAAACTCCCAACTTAGTTTGTATGATATAAAAAAATTACTGGTTTCTATTATGTCACTGATTCAATTCTAATTACTTTCATTGATACAGTATTCTGCAAAATTCCATAATTATTCAACACCGTAGTTTAGAAAATGTTCAAGAAATTACCAGAATATATTGTCAAAGGTCAGGGTTTATGGTTTTGGAAATTGATAATTGGTTAAAAAGCTATTTAATCAGTATTTTAAATATTGACCAAAATTGTAACACCAACAGTAATCTGACAGGGAACTCACTAGAAATATTAACAGAAGACATTTCAGATCAAAAATATGTCCACATATCTCACTGAACCCCCTCCATTTTTCTTTTACTTGAAATAATAACTTTTTAATATTTTTCTATATATTCATCAATGCTGATTTCCAATTGTCTATTCATGTTAACAGTGAAACTGTTTTGTGAGGGAAACCTGAAATTTGATCTAACGTTCAAGTTTTTTACAGACCTCATTTAGAAAATACCTTTAGATTTGCAATGATCTCTGTGACCCCTTGTAGAAAAATAACAACATTTGTTTTTTCTCTAAAAAATGCTTTACCCATGTTTTAATCACCTTTATTTATTATTCCTCATCAGGCCTGAAGCCAAAGAAAAGGGGCTGACGGTGCTCATAGACAGCAGACGATCCCAACCATCCTCTCTTTGCCTCTCTGCACTTAAACGGTTCCAGGTGAGGCGAAGGAACAACAAAGTAGTTGTTAAGACAAATGTGCCAAATATTTGCTCGTGTGCTTAATTATACTGTAGATGGACTGAAAGAACAAACACAGGCTTTCTGTGTGTTCCAGGTCTTGGTTCCTGGGGGTCTTGGATCAGTCTTGGTTTTGGTGGAGAATCAGCAGGAGTCCCTTTCCTTAACAATAGAAGGAATAGAGGTGACCTCACACAGACAGCATGTGGAGGAGGAAGACTAACAGCTATACAGATATTTATATACAGTATAATATAACCAACTTAACTCTAAGGTCCAAACTTATATCTGTTTAACCAAAATAAAATGCTGTTTGCTGCTCATAAGAAGCTATTTATAACTAATTGCGTGAACCTTACTCCCTCTCTAACATAATCAAAATCAAGCTTTAGATTCTGCAGATATGATGATGTCAGATTCCCTTTGTTGGGGAATTAATTCACTATGATTTTGACCCTCTGTGTTGATCCTGCATTGCAACACTTTTCAAGCAGCTGCCTGAAGTTAGAGCTTTCATCTGTCAGTCAGCATTTTTTAAGCAAGCTTGCAGGGCAAAATTATCTGAGACATGTGGTTTGTATATAAGAGCTTGGCAGTTATGAAACATTGCTTGTTAAAGTGACATCCCACCAAATGACGGTCACACTAAGCTTTCTTTGCATGATAACAGCCTGTTCATCTTTTCTTTCTTTCGCTTTTGTATATTGCCTCTTTTTATAATTATCTGTTTTTCTTCTCAGACACACATGGTGCGTGGCACAGGAGTCCTTCAGCAGTATGTGGACAACCAGCAGCTTCCTAAAGGGCTGGATGGAGACTTCAGTCACAGCCACTCAGACTGGCTGGCCTTCAGACTGGTAAAAATCCTGTTTGCTTCTTCTGTTTAGATAAAAAAGCGTCTCTGTTGTCAGTACTAGATCCAAGCAGTCACTGTGATTACTGAATTTAGTGTGGAGTGGAGTGATCATGAGGAAATCAGACTGGAAACATTACCTCTGGGGTTTAACAATTACTGACAGACATGGTTTTGAGCCAATCGGGGAGGTTTAATCAAACTTCCCGAAAAACACAACGTTATGGCATGCTTTTTTATTCTAAGAAACAAAAATATATTTTAGGTATTGGTTAAAAAAAAAAGGTTTTATATAATCAATGAATATGGGGGGAAAAAAACTGGAAAAAGAAGTCTTGGAATGAGTCCATATTATTGATTCCAGCCCTCACTTTTTTCTTTTCTGAAAGTTCTTAAATGTTCCCAGTCATTTTATATGCCTATAAAAAAAAAAAAAACATTTGATCACAATAAAATAAAGCAATATACACCAAGTATCTGTCCTGATCGTGTCTGGATAGTCCTTCTTCATCCTAAATAGAGCCCCAGCGGGGTATCAAAAGTATCAAAAAGCCTGAATAGAGCCCAGCCAGCCTGTAATCCCTCACAGTAAAGCAGTGGCTTGGTATGATCAAAGACCAACTGGTATTGGTGAAAATAACAATTTACAGCAAATCTAAGAGGCACGTAACAGAACATCAAGGAGAATAAAAACTCCTAACCATAACAAACGCAAACATGGACACAACATTAAGGTTCGACCCAATCAATCAATCTCAGTCAATCAATCAATTCATAAATCAATTAATTTTTTTGTTCTTAAAACTGTAGCGACTAAGATGGCATTGTTATTAGTATTCTCACAGTATTAATGAGGATGTTTATTCACATTAATTAACTCTGCAAACACAGAACGCCTCGGCAGCTTCAGCAAACACCAACATTCATACTGTATTCCCAGCACTATTCCAGTCTTATGCTAACTGAGATGCTAACTGGCTAACCGTTAGCTACCTGTGCACATGTGTTTTGCTCGGTGGGTAGGGACCTTAGACTTTAGTCGTTTTGCATACACAGAGTGTATACAAAAGGACATTTCGTTCTGTACAACTCTCATGACATTTCCATTTCTTAAAGTGCAACAGCGCACTTTGGAAACTGGTGGTGTCTATTGTTAATGTAAATAAACACAAAGAGCTTCGTTTAATAACAGAATGAGCAAAAAAAGTTACAGCTATAAGTCAACAGGACAGGAATCTTTCAGAAAAAATAAAACTTTGTATGCAAAGAGAGTGTTACTATCATAGGAATAAAAAAAAAAAAAAAGAAAATTATTGTGGCTATACCTTTAAGGTTATTATTGTTGTGCTAGGCAGCAAAATATCTTATGCAAATACATGCTTGTTGACATCCTTTTTTCAAAACAGTGTAGAAATGTCAACAATTTAACATTTTCTTTTCAATGTTATCTGCAATGTACAAACGTCAAGATTTGGAAAAATTTGCCTTCTTTATATTACAATATGTAACCGGAAATCATTTATCTGCCACATGTTATGATGGCAGAAATGTATTACTTAACTGCCCAACTTTGCCCCCATATAGATCCGTCCCTGCTGGTCACATCTTTGCCCCAGTTTGTGCCTCAGTTTGGATAAAAAACCTTTATGTAGTTTTCCTTTTTTTGTTTCCTCCTTATGATAAAACTAATTTAGTTAAATGAGTCAAACTGAACTGACTGAATTGGTTCTGTGAAGTTTTGAATTCCTTCATGTTATATGAAGCTATGAGGAGGGTGAGGGTGAGAGAGCAAGCTGAAGAGAGGAATGGAAAGATAACAGGAAGGTGTGAAAGTCTGCCCTGCAGTGGATGTTGAAGTCACTAATTCCACTTGTGCCTTTGCTTATTTCCAAACAGAGGTTGGAGAAACTGACCGAGCACTGTGAGAGCGCCCTCTCTCTGCTCAGAGAAGCACTGCAGTCAATGGAGACAGAAGAGATGCCAAACAACATTAAGGTAAACTGCTGCCAATCTTCCAGCAGATGCTGTGTGTCCTTTCCTGCCCACTGTTTATCTAATCGTTAAAACTTGATGGATGAGTTCTGCAGTGGCTGAACTAATGGTTTTTCTTCAGGCTATTCCTCAGAGCATTGACAAACACCGACAGCTCATGGCGAGTGTCCTGGCCGACCAACGCCTAACAGAGCTGCAGCAGAGGGGCGGAGCCTGGCTAGCAGGACTGAATAACTGTTCGTCTGGACTGGCACAGAGGTCACCTGACTGCAGGTACCAGACACCTGAATTCACCTGTAGCTTTAGATTCAGTTCTTTTCATCTGGCTGGCTGGCCTACACAGGTAGCATCACCCTGTGGGAAAGTGTTTTCCTTGGTAGGAACAGGGACAATGACAAAGGGGTGAATGGGTCTCAATCCAGAAAAATTGAAAAAAAAAAAAACATCTTTGAATGGAATGTTTTACTTTAAAACTTGCTGCAGTTTGGGAATGACCAACTGGCCTAATCATACCCTGACAAGAATGGAAACTGATGTCTACAAAAACATATCATTTAACTTTGCTTCAGTTTATTTTAAGACGGAGGAAGGGAAAACTATTTCCATATCAGCAGCATTAAGAGTCTGGCCTCTAAGCCAAGGCCCTTTGCACATAAAGTTTGCATGTTCTAGTATGTGTGAGTTCTTCCTGACGGAGCTTGACACCAGCCACCCACAACCACGCACTGACTGGTGGTGATAGCAAAACAGGAAGGAATGTAATGAGTGACAGCACCTTTACATGAGTCATATGATTTGTAAATATCTGTGGGTTTTTTTAAGTTGCACCAGGCCTTCTTGACTGTATTTGCATGCTGTCAAGTCTTTGAACACAAGTCATTTCAAACTATGCATGAAAAAAACAATCAGATAACAAACCAACCACTGTTTGTTAGTGCTGGCGTTACCACTCAGCTAATGATGTGTCCTCGTTCAGTGGTTAGTGGCTGAGCCACATCATCTCCCTACCCCCTCCGACACACACTATGAGCACAGTCGTCCCTTCAAAATAGAACAAGTTAAAGGGGAAGTACCAAAGCTGAGTCAGACTCCCATTTTCTTACTTCTCATTTGAGTTGGGTTGTACATGTCCTTGTAAGTAAAGTGCTGTGAATAAGTATTTAAAGCCTCACAGATTTCTCCGGGTTTGAATACATAAATATTTCCGAAGTGTAAATAAGAAAATCCACAAAAGCTGTGCAAATCAATTCTGTTAAAGTAATCACCACTGTTGTTGAAATATGGATTAACAATAAATAGCCACACAGTTCAATTTATTTTGCTAATAAAAGGCGTGATTACTTTTAGACCTGTAGAATTAATCTAACTCAAAAGAACTCTACTGAAATCATCAAATGGCTTAAACTATAAAAAGAGAAAGCAAACTAAGATAAAAGAAAAAGCTCCAAGTCTATTTAAAGGCTTTGAAAGTTTAAACTACAAGAAGAGCTTTGAGTTTTGAAAGTCCTCTTTGGTCACCATACCATTTTAATCTACTGATTTTGTATTTCCTGAGGTACTTTTTTTGCTAGACAAAAAATCCTTGTCTGTGTAAAGTCCCAGACAGTTAAAAAATTCAGCTACATGAATGAAACTAGCAGGGAACAAGCAAACAGAAAAGTATGGCGAGGAATTACCAAAGCTTGACATGTGGGCCAACCAATAGTTAAAATCCCAAGAGCTCCAAGCCAAAAGAAAATAATTCAATAAACCTTTAGTTCTATGTTTGATTTATTTAGATTGAAAAAGTTGAAAGAGTTCATGCTGCCCGAAGAATCAAGAGATAATGCTTGATTACTAGCACACGTTTTTGAAACCCCAACAGGTTTTTTACCATTGAGTGGTTAAACCTGTCTGTCATTTTGATTGAGCAAATTAGATTGTCTAGAATAAAGTAAATACGATTTACAAAAGCAGATAGAAAAAAAGTGCAGAAATAATGGAAATAAGATTTAAATATGGACCATGAGATTTTCTTTTGTGCTTGAACAGGGCTGCTTTCGCTGCCACTGCTCAGCTGTACGACAGCGTTGACGACGCCCTCCATCAGCTCGTCCAGATTTCCAACCGGAGAGGCCGGGATCTGGAAGCACTGGGACGACTGGCAGGGCTGGTGGACAAACTGGAAAAGGTTTGTGTGTGTTTTTAAGAAACTTTCAGAAGCAAACATTTCAAAGGTTAAAGGAATAGTACACCCAAAACATGATTAGCCTTCATTTTCTACTCACCCCCATGCTGAACAACACTCTGGAGTACTTTTTTGATATCTCAAATGCATCTGGAGATCTGGGAGGCTTCTTGCTGTCTGCTGACATTCAAATAATGGAGGTCTACGGTGCCCGAGACAGAAAGGTCCATAAAAGTCCACAAAAAACGTGTCAATATTCCTCCATACTGCTCGTCCAATGTATTCCAAGTGTCCTGAGTGGGTAGCATCCAGAATTTACTCGAAACGAAGTCATTTAGAATGTTTTTAGAGCATAAACAGTAGTGTATAGAATTTTCTGAAAGCGCACGCCCGCAAGTTCACGACGCTACGGAAGCCGGCAGACCAACCAGATGAAAGTGCGCATTCAGCGTCTGCTCTGCCGATAATGCAAGCGTAGAAGAAGAAATGTGCTCTTTACCTGTGCAAAGAAATTATCAACGAAAGAAAAATGTCTGAGGACTTCAGTGTTGAGGAAGAGCATGAGTTCTTTGCTGAGCTGAATGCGCACTTTCTTCCGGTTTGGTCTGCCGCGGTTTCCGTAGCGTCGTGAAGGTGCGGGCGCACGCTTTCAGGAAATCCTATACACTACTGTTTATGCTCTAAAAACATTCTAAATGACTTCGTTTCGAGTAAATTCTGGATGCTACCCACTCAGGACACTTGGAATACATTGGACGAGCAGTATGGAGGGATATTGACACGTTTTTTGTGGACTTTTATGGACCTTTCTGTCTCGGGCACCATAGACCTCCATTATTTGAATGTCAGCAGACAGCAAGAAGCCTCCCAGATCTCCAGATGCATTTGAGATATCAAAAAAGTACTCCAGAGTGTTGTTCAGCATGGGGGTGAGTAGAAAATGAAGGCTAATCATGTTTTGGGTGTACTATTCCTTTAATTTAACATTTTTCCATCAATTGGCTTGGGGGGGTGGGGGTACACTATGAAATATTTCTACATCCAGTTTTTTTCTGGTGTTTATTTTTATTACTTCCTGTTTTTACTACTTAAATGGACTTGATGGAAACTACAGGACTTACTTCTGCTTCTCAGATTATTTATTTCGTCAGCTTCCTCTGAGCACACAAAGAGCTAATGTTATATCGAGTGAAAACGTTTCAGTAAATTCTGCACCAATAGCAGTAAGCCTTAGTTTGACTACTTTCATTTCCTGTCTGGTGCATTTTCACCCATCTTCCCCTGTGATTTCTCTTTGTGTACAGTGACACATGTTCCCCTCTTCTTCTTGTCTCTGTTGACATTCAACCCACAGTGTGACAAGGAGATTGAGCAAGTGCAATCCCAGCTGGAGGAATACAAGGACCCCCCTCTGTCTCTCAGCAGACTCTCACTGAAACAGCAGAAGTTCAGGACTTTCAAAGAAACAGCCAATGTGAGTGATACAAACCCAGGTATAGGAAAAACTTGGTGCCTTTGGACTGAAATGAACAAATTAAGTGCAGTAAATAAAAGCAATCATCATTTTATAAGAGTGGATGATGGCAATGGGATCCAGTCTATCTGTGAGGAAAGCCATATGTTTAAGTCAGCAGCCCTTCCTTGGAAACAAAAAAAAAATTCAATTGGAGATAAAAAACAACATCTTTTATATTAATATTATGACTTGTGTATGAAGGAGGAGAGGGAATATCTACATCCAAATCATGAGGTGATAAGGAACTTTAGTCAAAAGAGGATAAAACTGTGTTTGAAAGAATTGTATATTTCCCTTTTTTAACAACAAAGCATTGTTAAATGTTTCTGATTTGAATTTTATTAATTTCAGTTGCACTGAACTGATTCTATATTTGTTTTAGTTTCTCAGCGTGCATCTTCTCAAGCTTTTGGTGGATTGTATGGTTTTCCAGAGTCTCCTTAATGTTTTTTTTTATCTGGGCTCGTTTAGGAGCTGCACAGTGAGACTCTGTCAGTGCTCAGCGATTTGGAGGGCTGGAGCGAGCTAAACTGGGCAGGACTCAGTAACGTCCAGATCCGCCTTCCCCCGGTGAGAGAGAAGCTGAGAGACATGTCCCACTGTCTATCAGACTGCTGGACCACACTGGACAACACACAGCGCCTGCTGTCTACACTGACAGAGGTAACACAGTGCAGAAAGCTTCAGAGTTTATAAAGTTCTACAGTTAGGGTCTGATCTTCAAAGTTTGAGAGTAAGAGACACTGAATTGTGCATGCAATATTTTATACTCCATGCAGAAAGTGGTGTTTTAGTTGATCTACAATGACTGCTGCATGTGCAAATATTGATACATGCAACCCAGTGGCTATGTCCAAAAATTAGAAACCTTTTTACTGTTTTAATTTAGATTTATAGAAGTAAAGCATAAAGTAAACAATATACATTCAAAACGTACATACTATGATACTAAATACTATTCATTTAGCACCGTGGTTGTGAAAAAAGTAAAAACAAAATGAAGGATGAAAATAATAAAAGTAAAAGAAATCTGAAATATTCTACTTTTTTTGTAAAACATGACACAATACTTATTCAGTCATTTTCTTTGCTTTGGTTGATTTAAATATTGGTTATATGTTGTCCTGCTTCACTTTGTGCCCTCTTGCATAGCCATTTTTTTCTGTAATAATATTGCTGTAATAATGTTATTTCTGATGGTCTAAATATATCTACATGCAGAATCTCTTTTTATAATCTATTATTCTACAACCCGTAGCAAGAATTATGGAATTACCGGCCTTGGCGGATGTTTATTCTGTTTTTTAAATTTGCACGAAAAAAGCAGATCACAGACATGTCACAAAACTAAACCCATCTCAAATGGGAATTGTCTGGCTTTAAGAAACAAGTGATTCAATAATTGTTTTCCCAGGGGTTGTTCTAATCCCTCATTACGGCGAAAATGACTGTAGATATTTTTGCATGTCAGTTTACACTGACTCTTAGAAGTACTATAAAAAGTGTGGGAAAATCGCTTTGCACTTGGTAGAAGTTTACATTTGCAAATCCTCAAGCAATGATTTTTTTTTACAGTTTGGTCAGCGCACTAAGATCTGCATATTGATGTATTGTAAGTCCTTTATTGTCCAATACTCTAACCACTACGCCACCTGTGGCCATTACACAGAAACAAAAGAATGGTTTCAACACACTCTGCTGAATTGCAAACACAAATTACTTTGAATCTTCGGTGGATTTGCTATATGAGCACAAACACATTTACACCACAAACTTTCTGAAGATCAAGCATTTACAATCCATTTCTTGTTAATCTTATTTTATTTTTTTTTTGCATTTCATAGGCAACCCAGTGGTGTGATGCGGTCTCCTCCACTCCCTCCTCACCCACTACCTCATCTTCCACCTGCCCCCTTGCTTCCCTCCCTCCAATCCCCCCTTCTCGTTTCCAGGATGCCCGATCCTTAGCTATAGAACTTGGAGGCGGGGCACTCCTGGACCTCTGGACCCAGACAGTAGAGCGCTACCAGCGGACTGTAGCACAGGTCAAACCCAGATTCCTCCACTCTGAAAGGACACAGAACCAAAGCCAGGGGAAGCCCAAAACACCCTCCGGCAGCAACTTCTGGGACCTGGTGGGGCCTGAAGCAGAGGGCGACTGGGGGCTGGGAGCAGTAGGAGGGGAAGGGGGGTTACAGTCCTGGGGGTCCCTGGCATCTCTGTTCAGACCACAAACATGCTCCACGTTGAAGATAGGTGAAGATAAAGGGAACAGGAAAGAAGGGGGAGGAAATGGAGGTGGAGCAGGAGGAGCTGGTGGAGGGAAGTTCCTGCAGAACCTTCTGAATCCTGTCAAGAAAAGTGTGAGTAAATTTGCATTTGTCCTTGTTGTTTAAATCTATCATCATTTATTTTTACTAAATCATATCATCCACATATCTGAAGGAAACACTGAATTTTTTTTAACACATTTTAGTTAACACAACACCACGTTAACCACTAACATTGTGTTCCCTTGAGATTGTGACGGACCACCAGCATACCGTTTTGCACATATGGGATGTTTAGAGCAAACATTTCTAGATTTTTAACACATTTTAATTAAAATCATGGCTTGAATGTATATGTATCCCTCTCAAGAATAAGTTTGGTGAGGAATTTTTGCTGCTATTTTTTTGCAAATATTAACATCCAGAAAGGGGGGTCTCCCTTTCGCTGCTTGTACACTTTTTTGCAAAACTATTTAATACAGTTTTATTTTAGTTTATTTATATAGCACCATTTTACAACACATGTCCCCTCTAGGTACTTCAATCAGACTGTAATGTCAGACTTTTGAAAGGTTTCTATCAAAAGATGCCCAGTTGACATTAAGTCATTGACCTTGCATGATTCGTTCCTCCTGGAGGAGCATTAAGCTACAGTAGATATTTGCTTGCATTGTCATTACCTCTACAGCAATCCCTCACACTAAGCATGCATGCTGCGATAGTGGAGAGGGAAAACTTTTGATAGAATGAAACCTACAGCAGAATCAGGCTCAGGCTGAGCAGTCTTCTGCTGAGCCAGCCTGAGGGCTTAAGGAAACAGTAGCAGACATGCAAAATAATAACAGAAACACTAATCTATACATAATTTCTATTATAGAAAATGTAATGGTAAACTAACATGCATGGTTTTGTTTAGGAAAGAAACAGTAAAGCAGACTAGCTCTGAGCCAGTTTTCATGCCAAAAGTAAACATTTAGTAACAGTAAAAGCTGAGCCCAAAGCTATGTCTAACAAAACGGCCATCTTTGTCAGCTATGTCACAATCAAACAGGACATGACCAGATTAAGCTACTATGATGGAAAAGGGAAGTACATGACAAACTTATAAGGCAGAGTGAGGAAAAGTGGTCCCTGTGTCCTCCACCTTCCTAAGCCTAAAGCAGCATAACCATAGAGATAGTTCAGGATAACCTGACTTTTTGGATTTGGTTAGATGTAAAGCATTCCTTTGTAGCCTAGGCTTTATGGCCATCCTCATGGCTCATCCTTCCAGCTGTCCATCAACTTTCAGTAGCTTTCCTGTCTCTTCTGAAAAACAGCGACCATGATGCTGCACCATAATGCTGCCATAGAGAATGATTCAGATGGAGATATGTTAGGGGTGATTTTAAGTGTTACAGCACTTTATATATTAAACGAAGCATTTGATATTGGTTTCATCTAAACCATAGCACCTTTCCTCATGTCCTAGCTGTAACTCATTTTAGCAGCCAGCAAGCTGGGCTTCCTTTACGTTCCTTTAAACAGGACATTTCTTCTCAAAACAACTTTTGGAGTTCAGGACAGCTACCGACTCACCCGACTGTTAAAGGCATTGTTAAGGCCTGCTTATGCAACTCATTTAGTTTCACTGTGTAGGGAGGGGAAGTTCATAAGACTGAATCCACGGTAGCACAGACCGTTCTCTGATGGACATCACCCCGAGGTCTTCTTCTGAGCACTATATTTAGGTGATTGCTGGACTTTAATTAGTGTCTTCAACAAGATCTTTTTCTGTGTGGACTGCCTGATTAGTTTAGTTTTCCTGTCAATAGATTGTCCCACATGACTGTAGATCTCTACAGCGGCTCAAGAGTTAGCAACTTTCGACTAACGATGACACAATGACAGCGAATGTTACACCTGTCCCATATTCAACATAAAGAAGCAAGTAAACTGAGGAAAACAATAACCTAAGAATAGTAAATGGAGGGAGCAGTATTCATGTTCTTTCCTTGATCTCAAGGCATGGCTGCTGAATGGTGAATCATGCATGTATCGACCATTATTGAAAAAAGAAAAGCTCACTCACACTCTACTTTGTTCCTTATGATCCCATTCATTTTCTTAATCATCCTATCGTAATATGATGTAACAAGTTTACTCTAAAAAGTTACTCTAAAACAGATTTAGAGCAGCTTTCTCAGTTTTGACTTCTAATTGATCTTGCAGCCTACCGAGGCCCCACTCCCTCCAAAGCCTCCCAGGAAGCGCCACCCCAGCTTTGACCTCCAGGCTCTCCTGGCCCCCCGCAAAGGCACTGCCACCCCAAAACCAGACTCTCCCGTTGGCGGGATTAGCCGCAATTCCCCCCTGTCCTGGCTGGGCCGAAAGAACGTAGCCGACCCCGTCATCACCACCAGCATGGCTGCAGCTATCCCTGGGTGGGGCGTCGGAGGTGGCGTGTTGATTCGAGGTGTGGAGGTCAGCAGCAAAGAAGTGGTGGATCACACAGGGTCGCCACGGCAACATGTCCTCCTGGGGAGGACTGAGAGGGACATGGGGACTGACAGGACTGGGTCAACTGCACAGAGGTATGTGGTCTTTGATCCTGTTTTTCTTCTGCAAGTTGCTGTTGAGAACGTTGTAGTTCGACTGAGTGCATTAGAAGCAGCACTTGGCCTTAAAACTCCCACAGCCAGCCCACTGAATAAATTTCTTTAGATTAAGCGAGTCTGAGATGAAAAAGAAAAACGGGGCATCATTTTGGGGATCAATCAGCATGCAATCTCTGATCTTTTTTTCATCACCATCTCTTTGATCTCCGTCCACTGCCTGCTGCCAGCTTCCTTCCAACATCTCGGATTTCTTTCATGTTTGTTTCTCATTTAAAAAGCGAGACCATTTATTTCCCTTCTTCGCATTAACATTTACTGACTCGCCCTTCCCGCTTTCCTGTTCATCCCGCAGTAAATTATACCTGCTCTGGTGCAGGATGCTGAGCTCAGAGAGGCAGTACGTGGCTGTCCTGAAGGGAGTTGAAGAAACATACCTGCCCCTGCTGGAGCTCTCTGACACCCCAGCGTCTATCAGGGGGAAGGGAGACACGCTCTTCCCCAACTGGAGCAGCCTCTGTGCCTTTCACTCCCAGAATTTGCTCCCTGCCATGGAGGGGGCTCTCGTGCAGAGTTTGTTGCAACAAGACTGCTTCAGCAAATATGTAAGTTTCATAATTTGCTGGGAAAGTATGGCAACGGTTATTCTGCCACTTTTTAGGGAAAATCTAAATCTTAAGAATCAATGAGCTTAGTTAAATGGACAGTTTATTTGTTTTTGAAGATGCAGATAATAAAAGAAAACCCTCTCCACTAATAAGGCCCATTTCTAGAAACACAACAAATTATTTTTAGATCATTCTCTAGAACCTGGTTTTTTATACACTGACAATGTTTCCCAAAAACATTGGTCATATTTAAACCTTTAGGGTTGAATATATTCACAAAATAATCTCTCACATTTTAAAAAAATGTGCTTTAAACATTTTATCTTCAGGTCATAATAATCCAGTAGAAGTCAGTCTAGTTTAGAATTTCATCACTACTAACCAGAGGTAGATGCACTTATTCCAGTTGTCTTCAAAGCAAAGAATTTAGCACCGAATTGTGGGTTTTAAATTGGATACAATCCTCAACACTTTTTCCAAACAGTCCCTTTATTTAACTCACCCAAAGGGTGGCCATTCCATTTAGGAAAAAAGTTTCCAAGCATGAAAAGTATTATTAATATACATTTATATATATACAGGTGCTGGTCATAAAATTAGAATATCATAAAAAAGTAGATTGATTTCAGTAATTCCGTTTAAAAAGTGAAACTTGTATATTATATTCATACATTACATACAAACTCATATATTTCAGATGTTTATTTTGTTTAATTTTGATGATTACAAATGACAACAAATGAAAATCTCAAATTCATCATATCAGAAAATTAGAATATTACTGAACACCAATAAAAACAAAGGATTTATAGAAATGTTGGCCAACTGAAAAGTATGAACATGAAAAGTATGAGCATGTACAGCACTCAGTATTTAGTTGGGCCTCCTTTGGCCTGTATTACTGCAGCAATGCGGCGTGGCATGGAGTCGATCAGTCTGTGGCACTGCTCAGGTGTTATGATAGCCCAGGTTGCTCTAATAGTGGCTTTTAGCTCTTCTGAATTGTTGGGTCTGGTGTATTGCATCTTCTTCTTCACAATACCCCATAGATTTTCTATGGGGTTAAGGTCAGGAGAGTTTGCTGGCCAATTAAGAACAGGGATACCATGGTCCTTCAACCAGGTACTGGTAGGTTTGGCACTGTGTGCAGGTGCCAAGTCCTGTTGGAAAATGAAATCTGCATCTCCAAAAAGTTGGTCAGCTGCAGGAAGCATGAAGTGCTCTAAAACTTCCTGGTATGTGGCTGCGTTGACCCTGGACCTCAGAAAACACAATGGACCAACACCAGCAGATGACATGGCACCCCAAACCATCACTGACTGTGGAAACTTTACACTGGACTTCAAGCAACGTGGATGAAGTGCCTCTCTTCTTTTCCTCCAGACTCTGGGACCTTGATTTCCAAAGGAAATGCAAAATTTACTTTCATCAGAGAACATGACTTTGGACCACTCACCAGCAGTCCAGTCCTGTTTCTCTTTAGCCCAGGCAAGACGCTTCTGACGCTGTCTGTGGTTCAAGAGTGGCTTGACACAAGGAATGCGACAGCAGAAACCCATGTCTTTCATACGTCTGTGTGTGGTGGTTCTTGAAGCACTCACTCCAGCTGCAGTCCACTCTTTGTGAATCTCCCCCACATTTTTGAATGGGTTTTGTTTCACAATCCTCTCCAGGGTGCGGTTATCTCTCTTGCTTGTACACTTTTTTCGACCACATCTTTTCCTTCCCTTCGCCTCTCTATTAATGTGCTTGGACACTGAGCTCTGTGAACAGCCAGCCTCTTTAGCGATGACCTTTTGTGTCTTGCCCTCCTTGTGCAAGGTGTCGATGGTCGTCTTTTGGACAACTGTCAAGTCAGCAGTCTTCCCCATGATTGTGTAGCCTATAGAACTAGACTGAAAGACCATTTAAAGGCTTTTGCAGGTGGTTTGAGTTAATTAGCTGATTAGAGTGTGGCACCAGGGGCCATCAATTTTGAACCTTTTCACAATATTCTAATTTTCTGATATGATGAATTTGAGATTTTCATTTGTTGTCATTTGTAATCATCAAAATTAAACAAAATAAACATCTGAAATATATGAGTTTGTATGTAATGTATGAATATAATATACAAGTTTCACTTTTTAAATGGAATTACTGAAATCAATCTACTTTTTCATGATATTCTAATTTTATGACCAGCACCTGTATACATATTTGTTTATATATATATATATATATATATATATATATATATATATATATATATATATATATATATATATATATATATATATATATATATATATGTATAAATGTATATTAATAATACTTTTCATGCTTGGAAACTTTTATTTCATATTTTATTCATTTTTAGAATGTTTAAGTAAGGCAGCAATTAATATATTTTGTTGATTTTGTAAAGAACTTTTTAGGTGCACATAAAGCACTCAGTAGACCTTAAATGTAATGTGCTAGCTGAGGTTTTGCTAGAGTGCATGAGCAAAGCTTTTAACAATTAGGAACGTGGAAAATAACATGTAGATTTTACTCTGTATCACATACAAATGTATATACAGACGCACCACATCACAGTCTTTTAATTATGACCCAATCAGTGATTTAAATAAGCTTAGAAAATATGTAAATTTGAGAAAAATTAATTTCAACAACGTGCAGTGATGATGAGAGAAACTTTATAACAACAATTCAAAAAAACTATTTTATTCATTTTGTTTGTTTTTAATTAACAGAGTCATTAAAAAACTAAAAGCATGACTCAATGACACACTGGTGTGAAAAGGACTTATAAAAAGGAAATTATTGCTAAGTAGTGTGATGAGTTTATTCTAAGAAAGTGGATGTTGTCATTAAGTTTTATTTAAACCACTGTATTTTTGGGCTTTTTTTGTGTATGTTCATATTAAAGCTAATATAAATCAACCTTGTAAACTTAAAATATTTCTTGTCCCCTATGTAACCGAAGCGGGAGGAATTTCTTCAGTATTCCCACTACATTCGCTCCAAACCTGAAATGGATTCACCGCTGGTCACACAAGCAGCAGACTTCTTTAAGGTAGGAAACCACACATTTCTCCCTGAGTAATTTAAAATGGAAGAGATTCACATTTAAAAGAATAAAATTGATCAAACATAAAGAAAGGGGGACAGATTTGGTTTAAAATAATCCCAAACACTTCATTATTTTCAGGGGTTTTTTAGACAATAGATGATTAATCCAAGTAATTTCTGAACTCAAACTCAAGCCAACCCGAGTAGTTTATATGTCAGTGGCAGCAAATAAGTGGTGTTAATTATGTTCAGTATACGACCAGAAAAGCCAATTAAAAGCAGATTATAGAGAGAGAAATCTGAGCATCCAAGCTACAATTAACTACAACTAATCCATCAACAGCATGATGAGATTACCATGAGGACTTTACATGGAAAGATCAAAGCGCCTGAGCTCACTGAGGCTGCGCTGAAGCTGTGCGCTCTTACAGATCAGCACTAGGTGGCAGCATTTACTAATGATGTCACAAGCTGCCACCGTTTAAGAAGCTTGAACACATGGCTGATAATGGGAACAGGCAGCTTTATGGTTATGGTAATGGCTGAGAAACGGCATGCAGGCTGATGGTGATAATTGTAATGGCAGTGAAAACAAGGCCGGTACGGCTTTAAACCTGTTCCTTTTTATTATTATTATTATTATTTGGCTACAGGATGATAAGAGATTTTCAAACTAGACTCCAGTTAATAATGGTTAATTTTAAACGAATTACACGTGGAAGCAATATATATACACACACACACTAGGCCTTCCTCACCCGTTCTTCCTTTTTCCTCCAAGCTCGGGTCCTCTATCAGAGGCCTGGGAGCTTGAGGGTTCTGTGCAGTAGCTTTGGTGTCCCTAGGACTACACTCTTCTGGACCAAGATGTCTGATGTATTTCCAGAGATCTGCTGTAGCCACTCTTCCACTTTGGGGGTCACTGCCCCGAGTGCCCCAATGACCACTGGCATCACTGATGCCTTGACCTTCCAGGTTTTCTCCAGCTCTCCTCTGAGCCCCTGGAATTTCTCTAGTTTCTCATGTTACTTTTTCCAGATATTGCAGTCACTTGGTATTTCTATGTCAACCACAACGACTTTCCTCTGCTTTTTGTCCACCACCACAATGTCCGGTTGGTTTGCCATTACTATTGGTTTGCCAAAAATGTATCTGGAAGTCCCACAGGATCTTGGCTCAGTCATTTTCTACAATCTTTGGAGGTGTTTCCCACTTTGACCTTGGGGTTTCCACTCCATACTCTGCACAGATCTTCCTGTACACTATACCAGCCACTTGGTTATGGTGCTCCATGCATACTTTCCCTACCAGGATCTTACACCCTGCAGTTATGTGCTGGATCATCTCAGGGGCCTCTTTGTACAGTCTACACCTGTCGGGTGTGGTAGATCTGGGCCTCTATTGCTCCGGTGCTTAGGGCCTGCTCCTGTGGAGCCATGATGAGTGCATCTGTGCTGTCCTTCAGTACAGCTCTGTCTAGCCCTTGGTAGGATTTCCTGATTTCTGCCACTTCAGTTATGTTTCAGTGGTACATCCCTTGTAGGGGTTTATCCTCCCATGATGGAGGCTCTACCTATATATATATATATGTATATATATATATATATATATATATATATATATATATATATATATATATATATATATATATATATATATATATATATATATATATATATATATATATATATATATATATATATATTATTATTATTATTATTATTATTATTATTTTTTTTTTTTTTTTTTTTTTTTTTTTTGTATACTATATAAGAAAAATATAACTTAAATTTTAAAAGTGTGTTTGTACATATGTTACATGGCTACACAAATGGTTAAAAAAACTAATATAGATTTTTTTATAGATTTTTAAAATATTTTTTATACCTCAAGTTTATTTTTTTTATTAAGACATTGTATAACACATTTTGAAAATGTATCCCACTATTTTTTAAAAGTTTGTCTCCTTATGAAACATATTTAAGGGCCACAAGACACCTAACTTTTAGGTACAAAATGTTTGCTTGGAAAAATTCACAATTCTGGCTGTGGAGGAATAAGAAACTTTAATATGAGTTGAGAAAATAAAAAAGGTAAACTTTCTTTAAGAGCTTTAAAATGAGTTTGCCTAATTTTATTTAAGTTTTCATCTTATTAAACATTTTCTTTGTCACTGAATTTAGAAGTGATTCAAATCTAAACCAAAGTAGAAAACAAAGAAATTTAATTATTTTATCAAACAATGTTCAGGAGAGGATTAGGGCCAAACAGCAACTGAAGCAACTCATAGATAGATAGATAGATAGATAGATAGATAGATAGATAGATAGATAGATAGATAGATAGATAGATAGACAGACAGACAGACAGACAGACAGACAGACAGACAGACAGACAGACAGACAGACAGACAGACAGACAGACAGTCAGACAGACAGACAGACAGACAGACAGACAGACAGACAGACAGACAGACAGACAGACAGACAGACAGACATGTTCTCTGCTTATGTTTAACCAGTGGCATACAGCCTCCAACCTTTCCTGTTTGTAAAACACGTTTCTTGGTGAACCACAGAATACAAACATGAAACCAATAGAAATGGATATAAATTAGTATTTCCTTTAACAGCTATAATGCTAATGAGAGTAGATATGTTCTTTTATGGTAGACGTCCAATATAGTCTGGGCCTAATTCAGAGCAGAAGACTCTTCTAATGTCTTGGTTTGCATTGAGTGCTTATTTACAGAGAGACCATTGATGATTTTCTATAGAAATGGATGAAGTAATGGGCAATCAAGGTAACCCAGGTAACCAATGGTCTTCCGATGTGAAACATGTTCTAAGAAGCTTAAGAGTAGTTTTCTGATATAAAAGTCCAATAATGTAAAAATCTGCCTTTCTAATAGGGTGGGTTTCAGATGGGAGGCTAGCTTTAGTCTCATAGACTTTTATCAAATGCAGACACTGAGTAAACACTGTAAACCAGATTCCTAGCAAAATCCAACTTCAGTAATTGTAAACTATCCCTTTAAGTCACCCGGTTTGCAGCAGCAGACCGTTATGAAAAGCTTTTTGTCAGCACATCTCAGCGATTCCTAATCAGACTTATATCTGGGAATGTTTCAGGCTATAACATGAACTCTTTCATTAGCGTCTTGAAATGTTCCTGAGCTTTTTCTGCTGGGCTGCAGCAGAGACTTTATGCTGCGTCAGCGAATATCGTCGCCTCGGAGAGCCGTTTGATCTGAAACAGGCTTTAAGTTGAAGTTAGAAAATGACACCCACACACCAGAGGGTTTTTTTTTTTTTTTTTTATGTAAAACCAAAGCACAGACAGAGCTGGCATTCATTCTGTTTCTGCATTTCTGCTCTTGTCAACCCCTCCTTCCTCTTTTATTCTTCCTCTCCACAGTCTAAACTCCCCCAGGCCTCCCCCCTCTCCCCTCTGTCTTTCCCTCACTGCCTGCAGGCTCCCATTCAGAGACTGGAGCAGTACTGTGAGGCCCTGGAGGAGCTGGGGGGCTTAAATCTGGCCTCGGACTCCGCCCTCTACGTCCTGAGACACGCCCAGAAGCACGGCGAGGACCTCAGGGCCAGTGACCTCATCGTCGGCTGTCCGGTGAGAGCGCATGCCCCAGTTCTTAAGTGTGCAAAGTCCCACTTTCTTTTCTTAGATGGAAAAACCTAAATAATTTGGATGAGGTCAGGCCAGGGAAGGAGGAGGGGGTGTTTTCACATTATTTTTATTCATATTCATTCATCAATTAAAAGAGATGTAATTAATAAGGTCCCTCATGTGATGCAATAAATTATTCATGCCTTAAAACAGTTTTAAGTCAAAGTTAAAACCTCTATTTGTTTAGAAATGCCTTTAACATTTACAGGTACATTTTAACTATAGTATCATTAGTTTAAGTTAGTGATCTAGCTGTTTTTTTTTTTTTGCTTTACTACCTGCTTTTAACATGTTTTTATCTTTACTTGCTATTATTCCACTTTTACTTTTCTCATGTTTTATTGTTTTATTCATGCAAAGCACTTTGAATTGTCTTTCTACTGAATTGTGCTATATACACAATGATTCCTTGCATTTTAGCTTAGTAACTTATATCATACAATTGTTTTTGTGTGACACACAAACCACATTACCATTTTATTGCAAGGAGACTGATATTGTTGTTTTTACAGAGAAAAATCTGAGACATGTGGAATGCCTTTTTACCAATCCACCTTAAATCAGCTTTTGTTAGAAGCCCCCCATAGCTGCTTGTTTCTTGCTTTATTTAACCCATTCCTCCATAGCCTTTATAAGATCAACCTGAATTAGACTTCATTCATCTTCTCTGCAACTATGACCAGCTTTCTTTTACCCTAAAAGAAAAGCCTCCCACATCATCATGCCGCCACTGCCATGTTACGTGGAAGGATGGTGTATTCAAGTTAATGTGCGGAATAAGTCCCACCCATATGAACACACAGGTAACCATGACAACACCTTTAGATGAATGGAGACACAAGAAAACCTCTGCAGCTGCCTGAAAAATTTTCGGCATGAGGGCAAGCAATTTTATTTACCTTTTATATTTCTGTGGAAAAACAATTCAGAGTGCTTTAAATAAGAAAAAAAATAAAGGAAACTTCACAGCCGCATTAGAATGCCTTCTAAGCTTTAGCTCCAGCTTAAAGTTCTCCAAAGGTCAGACTTTTTTCTTAGCTCAGCTCAGAGGGTTATATTTAGTAACAAATTAAGCAAAAGCGAAGGTCAAAAGACAAAAGTAACAAACCTACACCAGCAGGACACTGTAATTTGGCATAAAAAAACTATGAAACCAGAATGAGTTACTGACGTATACATTTAAAAATGTCAAATTACATACTATGTACCTTTGATTATATCAACATATCAAGGACATTTCGGTCCAAATGTTCACACCACTTATAGATATGGGTTACCAGTCTTTCACTTAAACAAGCTTTGCAACATTGTCAATATTCCATTATTCACCTTTTCTCTCTTGTAGAACAACAGAATAATCCATCCAGATTATCTAAGCAGTCAGCAGAAACATGCAGAAAATTCATGTGCTTTAAGATGTGTCACTAATGTATGTGTTCCTGCTGTGTTCCTGGTCTAATGTTGACGATTTGTCAGTCTTCTCTAACCAGGCACTTACAGAGGGTCCATGATACTTTGCTGAGGAAAGCTGATTTTATTTTAAGGGTAGCAGAGGAAAGGAGGTTGAATACAAATAAAAACAACATTTTTAAGATTTTTTTTTGGAAACAAAAAGATAATGCATGCATTATTATTACAGTTAAATGTATAGACTATTCTGGTAATTTAGCAGAATCTTTAAAGCGCCACCGTGAAGAAACAAAGTAGGCACAAAGTACTTAAACTAATATTTAACAGTTTGAGAGCCGCTGTTTTAAATGTTCCATTAGAGGATTGTTTTTCTGAGAAGCTTCTAAATATAAAGCAGTTATTTGAAACATTTGTTATTTTCCGGAATATTTTGGTCCATTTTGACAGGTACAAGTGGAGGAAAGTAGAGCTGAGGGAAACTAATGAGACCAAAGATGCTGTAGAAATGCTCGCAGCTCAGGCCGTTGTGTATTTTGCTTACCATATTTGGGCTTTATTAGAAATTCTTGAACAATATCTCTGCTCTTGAACTTCGCATTGTTAGTCTAACTCTCTAGCTTTGAACTCCCACACATGCATATACTCAGATATACTCACAATTTATATATGGGTGTGTGGGGGGGAGGGTTTAGGAGAGTGTAAACACTTCTACTGAGGCACTTCACGTCGACAGCTCTCAAAGGTAAAAAAGTGATTGTGAGTGCAGGGGAACGTGTCTTCCAGTGGGCGTGTGTGTGGGAGCTATTAACGTATGTGAAGCCTCACTTGTATGATGACCCCCCTCTCACCTCGGCAGGTTTTTAAAAATAAAGCTGCATGCCAGTGAATCGCCGTCTTTTTCGGCCTCAGCAGAGCATTGTTCTTGTTGCTCACGCTGTTTGTTTGCGCCTTTATAATCCTGGAATCTCTTCCTGAAGGAGCTCTATACAATTTCTGACTTTTATGAGTGTCTGTCTGCCTTTGTTATGAGTCCCAACAGCATGAAGAAGTCTCAGCCCTGTAATTGACGCGAACAATGAAGTTACATTTTTTTTCTAAAAGACGTGACTCATCTGGCCAATTAGAGCAAAGATCCAACAGATAAAAAAGCGGCCATGTGAAAGCAGCGGATGCCTCTATAGAAGTCGGTGGAACAATAATCCTTCTTTGTCTTTTTCTTTATTGGACTGAGAAGAGGGCTTTTCAGTCGCCACTGATAAAATGGATTTTCTTGAACACCAAACTAGGAAAACTGGAAGCAGGAGTGGATAGTTGCTGATTTGGTTGTGAAATTAAAATGTATTTTCTTATATGTATGTAGTGTAAAATGTAGAAACTACCTCGTGAAGCCCCTTAGAATTTTATTTTCTATAACAAAGAATGCCTTTAAGAAGAAAATGTTTTCCTCCTTAAAAATGTGCTGAACGATTCATAAACCTTATATCAAAGTTGGTATTTAGGAAGGCTGTAAAAAATCAAAGACCAATACCAGATGAAAACAAATATTTACGATTTAGACATTATCACAAAAAAACCAGCTGCTGTCACTGTGCAGATTAGCTGCTAAAAAAAACCTACTGCTTCTCAACGTCTCATAGAAATGATTGCGCTCTGTCTTACATCACCGCCTACTGATTATGGAATATTATGAAGAATGTTATGAAGGCATAGATGACTAATGTAGATAATGAGCTATTAAATTTTAAAGACCTCACCTAGGTGGGATATGCTAGCTTTCATAGCTTGATGCTAACATTTTTTTCTTAAACAGCATTTCCTCATAAACAATGAGATGTCCAAATTATTCTAACTGAAAAATATAATATTCAACTGACTGACAGGGAGAGGAACACACAAAGGATGAGGAAAGGGCCCCATGCTAAACATGACATAAAAAAAACACTCTGCTCTGCAATCTGTTTTGATAAGTCGTTGCCTGTTTTTAGAGTCAAACCAAGAAAATCTGGCTCATAAAGATGTAGGTGAAGATATGTCTCTGAGATGGTCTATGTAAAATCGGATATAAACTAAAGGCTTACAGGCTACTTTATATGTTGTTCAGATTGCAATGGGAGAACGTGGTGATCTGGTGAGGCAAGGAGAGCTGACCGTCTGCGGGGGACCTCGGAGGAAGCGAGCAGGGGTCAGGAATGTCTTCCTCTACCAGCAGGTCATCATCTTTACCAAGCAGAAGAGTCCCAGTCCAGGACGCACCGTCTACAGTTACAAGCACAGCATCAAGGTGTGGACTTAGGTTTCTTTTTTCAAAAAACCGAGATGTTTGAACCAGTAATTCACACATGGTCCTAACTTGTCCTTCCACTTCAGACGGGCGAAATGGGTCTGACTCAGAGTGTTGGTGACGAAGGAGTGAAGTTTGAAGTCTGGGTCAGACAGGCTCCCCGAACCAGAGACTGCATCACCCTTCAGGCCCAGGACAGGGAAGGAAGGGAGGCCTGGGCTCATGACATAGCCCATCTGCTGTGGACGCATGCCATTAACAACACAGGTGCACTATACACTCAGACGCTCAAGGAAATTATCAACAGGTCCAGTTTTCAATCAGTCTTTGAAGCAAGAATGGTTGTCAAAGAATATTTAGATTTTTTTTTTTGTTTTTTTGCACTTAAAGGGACCATGTTAATTATAATTTGCTTTAATACAGTTTAATACACTTTTATGTGTTAAATCATCAATATCTGGTAATACAATCTTTCAATGCTAACCTCAGTAAAAAAAAGATCATGCAGTTTTAATGATAAATTGATCTAGGAAAGGCAACAAGTGATCTAAATCATAGAGAAATTTTCCTCCTCATTAAAACAGGAATTATTATGTTATAAAATGTTGTATGTGTTGTCACATTGAAGCAATTCAATAATGGGTGAGGAAGAAAAAAAAAAGTCTTTGGGACTTCAGACAAAAAAAAAGTCAAATAAGGTAGCAGATGTATGATGATCTGGGCATATTTTACTATATTTGGTGAAACTAATGGTGTCCTACAGGTGCTGGTCATAAAATTAGAATATCATGAAAAAGTAGATTGATTTCAGTAATTCCATTTAAAAAGTGAAACTTGTATATTATATTCATACATTACATACAAACTCATATATTTCAGATGTTTATTTTGTTTCATTTTGATGATTACAAATGACAACAAATGAAAATCTCAAATTCATCATATCAGAAAATTAGAATATTACTGAAGACCAATAAAAACAAAGGATTTATAGAAATGTTGGCCAACTGAAAAGTATGAACATGAAAAGTATGAGCATGTACAGCACTCAGTATTTAGTTGGGCCTCCTTTGGCCTGTATTACTGCAGCAATGCGGCGTGGCATGGAGTCGATCAGTCTGTGGCACTGCTCAGGTGTTATGATAGCCCAGGTTGCTCTAATAGTGGCTTTTAGCTCTTCTGAATTGTTGGGTCTGGTGTATTGCATCTTCTTCTTCACAATACCCCATAGATTTTCTATGGGGTTAAGGTCAGGAGAGTTTGCTGGCCAATTAAGAACAGGGATACCATGGTCCTTCAAAAAGGTACTGGTAGCTTTGGCACTGTGTGCAGGTGCCAAGTCCTGTTGGAAAATGAAATCTGCATCTCCAAAAAGTTGGTCAGCTGCAGGAAGCATGAAGTGCTCTAAAACTTCCTGGTATGTGGCTGCGTTGACCCTGGACCTCAGAAAACACAATGGACCAACACCAGCAGATGACATGGCACCCCAAACCATCACTGACTGTGGAAACTTTACACTGGACTTCAAGCAACGTGGATGAAGTGCCTCTCTTCTTTTCCTCCAGACTCTGGGACCTTGATTTCCAAAGGAAATGCAAAATTTACTTTCATCAGAGAACATGACTTTGGACCACTCACCAGCAGTCCAGTCCTGTTTCTCTTTAGCCCAGGCAAGACGCTTCTGACGCTGTCTGTGGTTCAAGAGTGGCTTGACACAAGGAATGCGACAGCAGAAACCCATGTCTTTCATACGTCTGTGTGTGGTGGTTCTTGAAGCACTCACTCCAGCTGCAGTCCACTCTTTGTGAATCTCCCCCACATTTTTGAATGGGTTTTGTTTCACAATCCTCTCCAGGGTGCGGTTATCTCTCTTGCTTGTACACTTTTTTCGACCACATCTTTTCCTTCCCTTCGCCTCTCTATTAATGTGCTTGGACACTGAGCTCTGTGAACAGCCAGCCTCTTTAGCGATGACCTTTTGTGTCTTGCCCTCCTTGTGCAAGGTGTCGATGGTCGTCTTTTGGACAACTGTCAAGTCAGCAGTCTTCCCCATGATTGTGTAGCCTATAGAACTAGACTGAAAGACCATCTAAAGGCTTTTGCAGGTGGTTTGAGTTAATTAGCTGATTAGAGTGTGGCACCAGGGGCCATCAATTTTGAACCTTTTCACAATATTCTAATTTTCTGATATGATGAATTTGAGATTTTCATTTGTTGTCATTTGTAATCATCAAAATTAAACAAAATAAACATCTGAAATATATGAGTTTGTATGTAATGTATGAATATAATATACAAGTTTCACTTTTTAAATGGAATTACTGAAATCAATCTACTTTTTCATGATATTCTAATTTTATGACCAGCACCTGTATATCTGGTCAAACTTTTATGAAGGAAAGCTCTGTGTTTACACCAGCTTTCTCTCTCTGGTTCTTTTTCCTGAAAAGAGGTCACTTGGGACAAACTCGTTAAAAAACTTTTCATAATGTATATATTTTTAAAAAACCATGAGACAAGACAGGAGATTGTAATAGAAATTGTGATCTTACTCAGACAGAGAAGTTGCTCACAGTTACAGGAAGCAGTGCTTACCAACCGGCTCACGTCTCATGAAGTGGCCTCAATTCACAGTTAAGCATTTTATACAACTACAGTACACCACATCATTACATCATAGATGTTTGTAAATGAGGGGGCGTCCATGGCTCCAGCCTTATCAAAGTATTACACTACGTTCTTTGATCAAGGAAAACGCTCTCATTTCATTCCCAAATCTTTGCCACGTGAAGAATGAAGATTATAACTGTATATCCGGCCAGAGGAACTGTTCTAATTAGATAAACTACTGGGGAAAACATTTCTTCTGACACAGAAAAGGCAGTTATTATTAGGGTTTAACAGACTCACACATCACCATTAAGAATAATCCTAACGCATCCTAAAAACATGGTTGAGGGAGCTCGGTGGATGGTTTATAACAGAGAAGTATTCCTTTTGTCTTAATTCTGTTTCCATAGAACTTTAGATGTAAGATAAATTAGTGACTGACTGAAAGGAAACGGTACAAAAATCAAACGAAAAGTCAAATTGAAACCCTTTTAGAAGAACCATGAGCCTTTGTATTTCATTATTCACGATCTGCTATAGCTGATTGTTAACACCTAATAGTACCATACAAATGTTTTCTATTTTTCAGAAATGTGAAACACAGCATTAATAGCTATGAGTTAAAAAAAAATAACATATGGAAAACCAAATGCTGATTTATTTTTGTTTGTTATGGTGATGCCCAGCTTTCTGAACACAAGGAGTTCCTGCCTAGCTTGTGTTTGAGGATCGCTTCCCGCAGTTGGCTTAGATTTCAGTATCATCCTGCAATATGGTGCAGAGAAGCTCCTTATAAGAGGGGATTAAATCTGTTCAGATGGTAATGCTCCTTGGGAACAAAGCATTGTTCAGAAAACAAAGTGGCTCCAGACTGATACAGCGAAACAAGACGAGAGATGTTTCTGTGATTTTGAACCACGATGTAGAATGTGTAGCTATTTGTCGGAGAGGAAAGATTCCTAGGAATGCTACTTTACTGAGGTGTTTTTTATGTTTTTCCAAGAAATCTCTCTTTTCCCCCCCAGAGCTGTGTCTGAAGGAGTCACTGTGCATGGGAGTTTCCAGTAAGCTTCTGCTGGATGCTACAGGAACTCCAGGATCAGAGTTGGACTCTGTCTCCAGTCTGAGCGACAGAGGTAGGAGCTAAGCGCCATATCATGTGTGGACTTCTAAAAGCACCAGAAGTTTCAGCAAGAAGAGAAAAAAAGGATAGATATACAAACCCTGAAACCCTATCTAGACCCTTTATGTTTTTTCACATATTACTATCCCATTTAAAGCAACAATTTCATATTTTTCATGGAGATTTGCGTCATTTATTCCCAACAACATTTGGGTCAGTTGTTTAATGAAGGTCACACAGTTATTTAGAGAACATAATTCAACTTGCCGTATCTTTACGTCTAAAGAAGACAGCAAACACATCACCTTTGAAATCAGGGTTATGTTTCAGAAACCATAAGAGGAGATTTGAACATCTCACAGAACTCTGTTGCGAACCGTCCATCTAAACTAGCAGGTCAGGCGAGGAGTACATTAATCAGTCAAGCTTCTAAAGCGGCCGTGGGTAACTTTAGAGGAGCTGCAGGGATCAGCAGTTCAGATGGAAGAATCTCTTTGAATGACCTCTATTTACTAGGCTTGTCAAGAAAAACACGTCCTCATGGAAGAGGGACGATAAGACAGCTGTTGTTGAAAAAAGCAAGAGGTTCCACTTAAAGATTAGCGCACAGAAAGAATGCGAGGGAGAAGTTATCTGGTGTGATATTGGCCTACATGCAAAACAATTCAATTCAGTTTTAATCTAGCGGCAGTTCCGAACACGTCATCTCATGGTACTTTACATCCAGTCATTTCATACAGTCAGATTAGCTAAAAGTTTTTATCTAAGGAAATCCATCTGATTGCATCAAGTAATTGACTTGGCAGAATTAGTTGCTCCTACAGTAGATGAGCATGTGGAGACAGTAGATATCCGTTTGTATTTCGTCATTGACTCTACAGCAATCCCTGACACCAAGCATGATTGTGGCAACAGTGGAGAGGAAAAACTCTCTTTTAACTGGAGGAGATCTCCAGCAGAACCAGGCTCAGTATGAGAGGCATTCTTTTGAGGCCAACTGGGGTTCAAGGAGATAGAAGCAGACATACAAAATGATCATTGAAGCTCTTATCTACAAAAAGAAAAAAGAAACAGATAAGGAAACGGGCTCTGAGCCCCTTTTAGTGTCAAAGAGATGAAAGTGGGCAGATACAATTAGTCATAGTGAAACCTGCACCCATAGCTATGTCCGGGACAGAAACAGGAATAAGCACTAAAAAATAGGCCCTACTCTATCATCAATAATGCGAGAGGCTGATGCAGCAGATCGACTGATATTTCATTGCAGGATGGTCTCACAGCTAACAGGAACACCCTTGATGAGGCTACTTAAATAGAAATAAACAGAGAGAACATAAAGTTAGCGTTAAAATAACAAATACTCCAGAATGGAAGATAGAATGAGGCAAAATGACGGAAAGTGGTCCCTATGTCCCCCAGCAGCCTAAACCTATAGCAGCATTACTGTAGGGAGCCTGAGTGGCAGTCCGTGGACTCAGAACCTTAGGATTCCAATCCACTAGGCCAATACTCCCCAAACAGGCATTAGTGTGAAGGGTCTTACTTAAGAACCCACATTGGCAGCTCATTCCCTCCTGCTGGGATACGAACCCAGGCCTCCTGTTTGCAGAGCGGGTGACTTACCGCTTGCTGTAGAGAATTCCATTCCACTACAGAATTACTGTCCATTGTAGTTATGTTTTCTGTTTGTTTCAATTGAGATTTCTGTACTGTAGCTTTTGTTATCATTGTGTCATTTTTTTTTTTTATTTAAATGGAGGAATATAGAAAAATATATGCCTACATAATCACATAAAAAAAAAAATCAGGAGTACACCGGTTTGGTTAAACAAATGTCATGATAATCAGTATTGACTTCAGTCTTAAACAAACTGAATCAGTTGAACTGTAGCGTGAAACTTTTAGAGAGACTGCAACTGGAGTACAATGCAGATGTATGCCACACTTTTCAGATTTTGCAGGATTATAGTTAAAATTAGAAACTTTGTGCTGTTTTCCTTCCCTTTTCCAATTTGAATTAAACAGTAACATAAAATCGAATCAATTATATTTCGTTTTGTTGGTTTTAAGAGCGCATTATGTGAAAACAGCACTAGGGATGTGAATACATTTATCTAATGGTGTTCAAGAGTTTTTTCTCTGTAATGCAATTTAACAGGAAAAGAGAGTTGGAGCATGCATCGCATAATGTTTCACCTGCACCTCTTTTTTTTTCTTTTTTTTTTGATTGTGCCTGTAGTGGTCGGCCATAATTGAAAAACGAGCTTTTTCGGACACATTAATTGAATTTCTTTGTTTTTGAGCCGCTCGGAGCAGCAGATCAATCTCTTAACAGAAAACGTATTATCCTTTCTGTGCAGTTAATATGCCTGATGAAATCACTGTGGGTGATACACTAAAAAAAGCCTTCGCATTCATTTGCAGTTATGTTTTTTTTTTAGTCAGTGCACATAGGTCCTAAAACTAAAATATCTCCAAGGATACGCTGTTTTTAGATCTGCACATCATGAATGAAACATTATCCATCCTATCCATATTTAGAGTTACTTTGAGTCAGTATGTTTGTGTTTTTGTTGATCTTGCAGAAAAAAGGCATGTTTGACCTTTTGAAACAACCACAAAAATGAAAGTAGCCAGTCATAAAAAAAACAACAACAACTAACAAACAGAGGGGTTTAGACAGATAGGTTATAAATAGATAGAAACATATTCGCATCAGCCAGAGCTCACTCATAAATCTGTCTCCTAAATACAGGGAATTAGGGAGCATATTCATGGGAGTCAGGGGGAAGGGAAGCGAACACGCTCTGTAAACTGCTGCTGTTTAAACATCATCATCCGATGCAGAATTTGTCCGCAGAGTTCAGCAGTTAAGCATCCCATCTGGAGTACCATTCCACTGATTTTAGACACACAGTCCCTGAAGGCAACTGTTTTCACCTAACCTTAAAATGAGTCCCCATTCACACCTCGGTGTAATGCACATTCTGCTCACCAGGTGTCTCGATGAGCAGATTTCTGGCTATGAAATGTCCTCAGGGACAGAAGCTGATGTTTAGATATTCATTGGTACACATGAGGAAAAAAGGCCTTTTATTTCTTTTGTCCCTGCCTGCTGCTCAAGGTAGGCTTATTACCATAATAATCATATTTTTATTCATCTAAAGCCCAAATAAAACACTTTCTGAGCATGCAGGCAGCATGCAGGCAACCCAAACAAAAAACCCTGTTTTGGGTGATTCACTGGGTGATACTTTCCCCAAACTCATTGTGGAAGCGTGTATTTTCGAGCTCCAGACTCTCAGCTTGTTCTGTATTTTTCGGCTCTGTTTTGATTGGATCCCCTCTGCTTCAGTCCACAGTAGCTGCTCAGACTCTTCCTCTGTGGGCAGTCAGAAGGAGGGGGGATCCCCAGCTTCTGGGAGGGACCCCAGGTCAAGCTCCGGATCAACAAGCTATTCACAGGTGGGCTCACAGTTTATTCACCAAACCCCAGTCATCCCTGGGTGAATGAAAGCTTTTTCTCTTGGTAGAAATTATTCCCTCCAGCGTGGTTATATGTATTTATGTAGTACATTTCTTTTTATGTTTTCTCTACTGGAGATGGATCCTTTTTTCAGGGGACTGGGTCTCTTAACACCCAACAGGGTAAAACTCAGACTTCCAACCCCTAAAACAAAAATAAAAAAAACAAGTAGTATTTTTTTATACAATTCTTTATTGTAAGAAAAAAATAAATATTTTTATCTCGCCTCTATCAGACTTATTTAGCCTGCCACATTTATTGAAGTGCAGGTTTATTTTGTCTTATTCATTGAAAAAGGCACATCTGTAGTAAAACTTTACCCGCAGGAAACAGAAAGTCAAATATTGTGTTTACTTAGTCAGTTAGTGCACTGGATTTCACAGCAAAAAGTGTAAAAATTGTGAAATTTTACCATCTTTTTAAATAAAAAATATATTTTTTTTCCACTTCTTGCTGAGTTTTACTCAATACAAGAAGATGAATGCATCATTCCTTCTAGAATGAAGACACACTGGATGTTCAGTGACTTCAAGTGTTCATTTAATGAAAACAGGGGTCGCAGTGATTTTATAAAGAGATTTTATCATTGACCATTTACCCATCAGAAATGCTCTTTCCATATGTTGGTGAGGTTATAAACAACCCTTGTCTTTAGCTGTGAGCAACAGGAGTACCAACCCAGAATGGGATGCATTTTTAGTATTTAAACACACTTACCCACACCTACACATGCTGTGCAAACACACACATTCCCCCGGTCTCCTTATCCAGCAAACAGAAGATGACAGATTGGCAAACAGACTGCGTCAGGAACAGATTGACGGGCAGAACGGGTAAGGGCAAACACGCAGAAGGCGATGTGCGCATATTGGACAACAGGTTGAAGACGCCTTTGGTGCAAGCCTACTGTTTAACGCTGAATCTAAAGCGTGACTTTTTTTCCCACAGAATCATTCACCGTCTACAGCTGTGTGACTGTCATCTCAACAACAGTGAGTTTAATGGCAGTTTTTTCTCTCCCTCTGTTCGCTGTTGTTCTGTTTCTTTTTCATGTGTGAACTGCTCACTTTGGGATGCTACAAACTTCACTCATCCTTTCTTTTCTTTTTTTTGTCTATTGAAATTTTTCACGTAAATGTGTGTTCTTCTTTCTTAGAAGCAGAAACTGCACTCAGGACCTTTAGAGGATTCCTTCATCTCTAATCCAACTCAAACTGGACTCCATGTGAACTTCTCCAACACACCAGCACCCTCTCTTGTACCCTTCAACCTCCTCCAAGAGTGCAAACAATGCCAGGGGATTAGGCGCAGCTGCACTGTTCCGCATCCAAACGGGATCAGAAATTGCCCTCTGTTTAGACCATGACAAGCACCAGCGGGGCTCTCTCTGACACTCCGCCATTTTGGGTCTGCCAGTCTCAGCTGCTGGCAGAGTCATCGACACCAAAGGCACTTCGGCTGCACAGTGCGGCCTTTGTCTGCTCCGCAACTCCCCACTAGGCCAAACCACTTGGTCTGAACCACTGACTGGCTGCCTTTACACATCACATGCTTCAGCATCTGATAATAAACAGGAAGTAATATTTGGGAGCGTAAATGTGGCATTGGATTGCAGATTTAGGATGTATTATGGACTTTATCACCCTCATAATGCTGAATGGAGGACTGTATACTTCTTTATCTGGCCTGTGTTTCGTGTCTGTGTGGTTTGGGTTAGGTGGGATTGGATCTATGTAAATTAGGTAACCAGCACACTCACTCAGACACACACAATGTCCCCCGACACATGCAGTCACTCTTATTGTTATCAGACAGTGGAGCACTGTTCACATTCACATGCTCTCTTCTTCTCTCTCTCTGTCGCTGCCCAGTTTAGAGCCTGGTACAGTGACTAAATGAGGCGAGCCTCCATCTGAACACATAGAGATGATGAACAAGGAAAGCGGTTTTTTAGTTACATGACTATTGGAGTGTCTAAGCAAATTGTATAAACAGTACTAAGAACTGAAAGTAATAATGGTATCTATCTTTTCTTTTAAGCGTAAAAGTGGCATGAAAATGTTCCCCCATTACAGTATTATGTTTTTTTCTTTTTTTTTTCTTTTCATGTTTCAAATCAAGCAAAGTCAATGTTTAGAAAAAAAAAGAGCAGAACTCTGATTTCAAAATCAATTTTTCGGATGATTTCTGTATGTTAAAACCAGTATTAACTGGGATTAGAAACTAAAATACTCAACTGAAATAGAGGCTCTTTAAACAGCATGAAGTAGTGCCGTCATGTCAAGAACAGATGACAGGCAAAAAGCCACTGACATATATCAGTTTGGAAAGGACAGCAAAGCTGTTACCAAGACATCTGGTCTCTAGGGAACCACAGAGAAGGACATTATTCCCCAAACAGAGGAAGATGGAAGAACTTCAACAAGGGTGTTTAATTGGAGGACCTAAAGGAACCAAGAACAACATCAAAAGGACTAGTGTGTACACCTGGGCAGTGTTCATTTTTCTACAAAAAGAAGGTGACTACACCAACATTAGCATCCAAGGTTGATTAATCTCAAATGTTTCCGCAGAAGCTAAAAGCTAACCAAGCAAGCCCTTTTGGAGGGTGTTGGTCCTGTCATATCTGGAGTAATACGTCAAGGTGTACTGATATAACTTTTTAATTTCTGATGTTAAACCGAAATTGAAGTTTTAAGTATTGACTGGAACCAATACTGATCTGGTACAGTAACAGAACAAATCATACATACTTTTATTATTAATTGTCTTGAAGTGGAATGTTGGAAGAGAGTTGATCAAGTGATTTTACTCAATGACAACAGTAATGAGGAAAAAATGGCACATTTGTTACTAACCAATGCATAAACTAAAAAATAATATTTCATGAGAGAGGAAACTAGTAAATGTGTGGACTGTAAAAGCCACACAGCTCCTACTCAAGCATTGTATATTATTATAGAAGTGGAATGGCCTGTAGTTATGTAGCATCTTTTCAAAACTCCAAAGTACTTTTGTGATGCAAATCCTTGAGGTACATTGTAGCCACAGCTCTGCTGGGCCTCGCTGGCTCTCTAACTGCCTTCAGCGTGAAAAGCATCTTGGCCAAAGACACAATGACAGAGAAGGCCAGAGGTGGGGTTTGAACCGACAACCTTATGGTCACAGGGCAAACTCCTTTATTCAGTAACACGTCTAATGACTTTGAATTAATGCCACCCAATGTAAACATGCTGGTAGAAGCATGATATTGGCCATTTTAGATGCACGCTGATATAAACCGAAATGGCTTTTCGTTATGGGACTGATTTCCAATATCAGGTTAAGTCATCTCTAGTAAAACCAGCATTTTAGAAAAACCAACAGGTTCGCACTCTGTTTCAGGACCTGGACAAGTTGTTGAGATTGAGAAAATAATAATAAATGTTTACTTAAGCAGAAAATCCTGACAGAAAATTTGTTTTTGACTTTAGGCTCAATGGCTGGACAGTGAAATACACCAGAAAGACCATAATTGAAAGGCAAGGACAGAGACGACCAGTCAAGACCTGGACCTAAATCTGGTAGTTTAGTTGGTAACACTTAAAAATGATGCATTGCGACAAGAATACAAAAATTTTACAGTTTAGAGGCCAAAATCTCTCCACAGTGAAGTAAAGTGCGGGTTATTTGTGTTTTATTCCAATTGCTAGTTACCAGCAATTCACACAGACCAGGCCTACTAGGACATCTGTTGTTTTTCTCCCTTAATAAATGAACAGAAACCTTTATAACTATTTATGTTCATCTTTCTAAAAACCTGTTTAATGATCTTAAACATTTAAGTGAGACTATAAAGCAAAATCAGAAAATGTCTGTGAGGGGGCTCATAGTTATTTTTTTACAGCATTGTAAAGCATAAACACATTGGTACCTAAAGAATCTCCCTTGCTATACTGATGAGTACTAAAACCAACTTTAATGTTACAGATTTGAGGATAAGATGCCATATCATATATGCCAAAGGTATAAATGGGCGTCAGTGCAATGTTTTTGTTCAAAACAATACCGGCTAATTTTGTTTTTCAGAAATTGTTTGCATTCTCCATAAAATGGAGGAAAGTATTTCATTACTTTTGTTTTTTTTTTTCATTTTCTTTATTTACAAGTTTTATTTACTTTATTTTACAAGTTTCTTTGGCTAGCATATGTAAACAGTATCTGGTAATAATAAAAATGATTACTCATATAATACGATTAATAATTGTGTGTTTGATGAAAAATGACATGCAACTTAAAGGAATACTACACCCAAAACATGATTAGCCTTCATTTTCTACTCACCCCCATGCTGAACAACACTCTGGAGTACTTTTTTGATATCTCAAATGCATCTGGAGATCTGGGAGGCTTCTTGCTGTCTGCTGACATTCAAATAATGGAGGTCCATGGTGCCCAAGACAGAAAGGTCCATAAAAGTCCACAAAAAACGTGTCAATATTCCTCCATACTGCTCATCCAATGTATTCCAAGTGTCCTGAGTGGGTAGCATCCAGAATTTACTCGAAACGAAGTCATTTAGAATGTTTTTAGAGCATAAACAGTAGTGTATAGGATTTCCTGAAAGCGCGCGCCTGCGAGTTCACGACGCTACGGAAACCGCGGCAGACCAAACCAGATGAAAGTGCGCATTCAGCTTGGCAAAGAACTCATGCTCTTCCTCAACACTGAAGTCCTCAGACATTTTTCTTTCGTTGTTTCTTTCTTTGCACAGGTAAACAGCACATTTCTTCTTCTACGCTTGCATTATCGGCAGAGCAGACACTGAATGCGCACTTTCATCTGGTTTGGTCTGCCGGCTTCCGTAGCGTCGTGAACGCGCAGGCGCGCGCTTTCAGGAAATCCTATACACTACTGTTTATGCTCTAAAAACATTCTAAATGACTTCGTTTCGAGTAAATTCTGGATGCTACCCATTCAGGACACTTGGAATACATTGGACGAGCAGTATGGAGGAATATTGACAAGTTTTTTGTGGACTTTTATGGACCTTTCTGCCTCGGGCACCATAGACCTCCATTATTTGAATGTCAGCAGACAGCAAGAAGCCTCCCAGATCTCCAGATGCATTTGAGATATCAAAAAAGTACTCCAGAGTGTTGTTCAGCATGGGGGTGAGTAGAAAATGAAGGCTAATCATGTTTTGGGTGTACTATTCCTTTAAAGTTTACTGCAAGTATTTTTTGGTTTAAATGGACATTATTTTCTAGACATTATATTTGATTGGATTTATGTGCATAAAGCAGATTTGGATGTTGGAAGGAAGAATTGATCTTTGCATTGCAAAGAAGTAATTTCCCTCTGGGATTATTAAAGTATAAAAAAAACAAAAATACTAAGGTTGAAATATTACAGCAAACAGTGCAAAGAAAAACAAAACTCAAATTAAGTTTCATTTCTAGAAATTGGGAATTTATTTTCATTTCTATTTTAAAAAGACACCCATCTGTATAGTTCCTTCTAAAGTATTAAACTCTTCTGTCCTTTCTTCATTTTGTCAGCTTCAATGTTTTTAAATTGAAATTCGCTGTAATGAACCAACTTAAAATAGCGTAAAGTGGAAAGAAATTGACATAGTTTTCACACTTCTTAAGTAGAAATCTGCAAATTGATCAAATAATTCAAAAGCCATGCTTTATTTTCTTTGTCAGCTTCTCAGATATTCACTGCTTTGTGTCAATCACTTAAAATTATCATAGAAAGTTACAAAGAGGTCTGTAGTTGTTACCTGAGACAAATGGGAACAATAATATAAACACAACATATGGAGTATGACAACATTTTGAAATAAAGCTAAAAACAAATGACAAAAAGATTTAATATTTTAGATTTTTTATACCACAGTCACGTTATCATTTTATTTTTTCAAATCTGATCTTACAGAAATACATGACACGAGCAGAGTCTAGGCCACCACCTGGCCAAGGTGAAGGAAAAAATGTGCTAAACTCTGCAATGCTGCATCATCCCCCAGCAAGCTTGTCCTTCACCAACTGGAGTATTTTAAAAATTCATAATCCTGCCATCTCTTTTTGTCAGAGCGGCCTTTAAGAGATGGATGGGAAAAAAAAATCCATTAATTATGCCTTGCATTGATCCCAAACCACCATCATACCCTTTTCCTTGTAACTCATATATATTTTTTTTGCTCTATTAACTTCTAAAATTGCTCAATGGAGTTTATTTGTGAAGCACAAGTGGAAATATGTGTTTACTGCAGTCATTTGTTGGTAGTCAAGAATATTCATACATTGACCTTGGAGTGCTCCAGAGGAGGCAAATCTGACACATGTAGAGCAGGCTCAGGGTGTCCAACAACAGATCTGATGAAATTACTGTAACTCAAAGGGTTTGTGCTTATTTCACTACTAATCTCTGTCACATAAGGTTTAGTTTTTTTTTTTTATATAATTCTAAATCAAAGAGTATTGAAATTAGTATTTTGAGGCATTTATTTTTTGCTATCCTTATCTAATATTTGGTTTGGATCATCCATTCATCCTTTTTCGTCCGATTTATCCAGGGCTGGGTTGGGGAGGCAACAGTAAGCAAAGATGTCCAGACTTCCCGATCCATACACACCTGCGCCAGCTGCTCTGGGAAGGCCCCAAGGGGACACCGGGCCAGCTCACAGACATGTCCCTCCTGGACCTTCCACAAGGCCTCCTCCCAGTAGGAAATGCATGGAAAACCTCCCCAGGAAGGCGACCAAGAGACATCTGGAACAGATGCCCGGGCCACCTCAGCTCGACCCTTTCTATGTGGAGGCGCAACAATTCTACTCCGAGCTCCTCCTGGGTAACTGAGCTCCTCACCGGCTCTCGAAGAGTGCACTCCTCCACCCTGCGAAGGAAACTCATTTCGCCCGCTTGTATTCGCAAATATTGTCCTTTTGGACATTACCCAGATCTCATGACCATAGGTGAAGATCGGAACGTGGATAGATCAATAAATCAAGAGCTTTGGTCTGTCTATTGATCTCACGTTCCATCCGTCCCTCACTCGTGAACAAGACTGAGATACTTGAATTCCACTTGAGACAAGGACTCTCCACTGAACTGAAAAGGGGAGTCCACCATTCTCCGGTGGATTTGGAGGTGCTGATCCTA